ATGTAACTTTAATAGGTTTAATGAAAAAATAAGGGAGAAATTTGGAAAATATAAAAATTTCTAATTGTGTGTCCACTCACTTTATTAAAAATTATTCCACCTTGTTTCTCATTTTGATTTATTTAAAAATAAATCGCTGACGTTTTTGTCTTCCCAAACAGTTGCATGTCAAGGACAGATGAGTTCGTTTTTTTTTTAATGTGGCATGAACGAGATCTAGTGCAATAGCATTTTTGTTTTGTTTTTTAAAAATAGATTTTAAATGAAATCACAGAACGAACCATTTTGTTCATGTCTGTTAATTCAAAAATTGCAGTAATTTGCTCGCAATTGTTTCAAAAAAATTAATGCTCAATAAATTCCATTAAATTTTGCACTAATTTAATTTTTATAAAAAATTCCGTGGGTCAATTTTGCAAGTAGACACTTAGAAGTAAAATATCGTTTGATGCAGGAAGCTTGTTGAAGCCATTGATATTGTTACGACGTGTTCTGGAGTACTCAGCACTTAGGAAATAATCAATCATCAGTGAGTCAACAAGTTTCTTAGATACAAGCCTACATTTAATTAGAAGTATTTCCTCACTGGACATGATTATTCATAGATTTATGGGAATTGCGAAAAATGCTAAGTAAGAGCAGCAGCTTAGCGAGGAGCATGTATAAGAGTCATAGTGTGTTGATGACTAAAGCGCATTTTAAAAATTTTAATAATCGTTTCTTCCTCCTTAATTAAAATTCATTTGATTCTCGATTAAAATTCTAGAGTAATATCCGAGTCCAATTAAAATATTTCAATTATTCAGTTCCTCCTAGCTCTCATTGAAAAATTTCCATATTTAAAGCTCACAAATCACGAGCATTCGAACTAGAAAAATTAATTTCCAGATTTTCATTCAAGGGGTCCTTCATATATGACGTCTGTCATTAGGGATATAAAAGATCTGTAGCCATGGGAGCGAAGGATTTAGGTTGACACCCTCCCAATACGACAGCAAAATATCTTCAATTTATATTTCAAAAATAACCATCCTGCCTTGGCTGGAGGAGGAGGGTGGGGGGCATAATAGAAAGACAACTTTGTGACAAGGGGCCGTTCAATTATTATGTTCCGCAAAAAAATGACTTTTTTCACACCCCCTCCCCCCCTTGTTGCAATATGTAACAACTCACAACCCCTCCCCCCCCCCCCCCCTCCCCCCTGAACGTTCATATTTTATTTTTTTTTCGTTAACTTTTTTTAAAAGACAGACGACAGTTAGAACGTTACATACTTCTTGACACCCCCCCCCCCCCCCCCCTATGTTACATTTTGTTACAATTTTTCAAACCCCCTTCCCCCCAAAAATGCGAACGTAATAAGTGAGAACGTAATAAGTGAACGGCCCCCAAGAGTAAGCTTCGTTTTATCATGAACGTCATTGGTGAAACTCCCCCTTACCCACCTTAATAAATCAATGCATTTTGGCATATTCAATTAATTCTACTTTTGCCTTCATTAACAGGAACTAGTACAGAATTCATTATTCATTAAAATATCTCAAATGAAGTGGCAACAACTGTATTATTTTAAAAATTACAAAGCATTTGGTGAGAAAATCACGAAAAAAATGTTCAAAAAAAATCTTATAAAGCAAGAGTGAAAGAGCATCAAGAAAATGAACATGACTCACAATGGATTCCATTGTTAACAGATAAATTCAGACAGAAAAAAATAATAATATTTTTCGCAATTTTAAACTTGAAACAAATAGAAAAGAAATAAGGGCTTTTTGGTCTATTGTACGCAATTTTTTATGTGTTTGCGCAAAAACTGAGACTTATTTTTGGACACGAAGTGGGATTGTCGCTGACAAATTTATTGCAAAAGCGAATATTGTTGATTAAATTTACATTAAGTGAGTTGATAGTCGTGAATGGATTGTTTCGAGTTGCAATCTTAATTTTTGTTTTTGAGTAAGACTGGTTGAACTTAACATCTTTCGAGTCTCGAGAAGAAGTATGACTGGAGATTTTTTTAAATGGTTCCAATTGGCTTCTATTTAGTTTTAGTAAAATAATGACGTTGAGTCTTAAAGGATCTATGTCGACAACTCTTCTCGCTTTGGCTGAAATGAGACAGAACCGATTAGAAGATAACCCTGAAGATAACACACCAGAGTTGAATAAAGAATGCCAGAAATTGAAAGGTCGTAGCTAAGAGAGGAATCTGTCGATAGTCTAAGTCAGTGATGTTCAACTTTTTTTGTGTCACGGCGCACTTGGTGGTATGTCATTACCGATTCGTGGGATAACCCAATTTATTTCACAGCACATTAGTGTGCCGCGACACATGTGTTGGACAAAACTGGTCTAACTCATCAATTTAGATCTTAATAAACTATATAATGCATTCCAGAGTATCCTTATCTCAGGTTTATAGATAACATTTTTCATTAAGCTTGGATCCTTTGGAATGGCTGAACCAATCGCCTAAATTTTTACTTAACCTTGAAAAACAATTTTTTGAAAAATAATTTTTGACCCAATTCATGTCATAAAGTTTCATTTATCAAGCAGTACGACCAGCAAGTAATAAAAAAAAAACGCCGGTTCGTCATGCTCGAATCGATTCTTCATAGCAGGAGCTTGCCAAGTATTTTAAATGAATTTATTTGTGCAAAAAAATCTCATTAAATGATGAAGACTTTAAAGCAGATTAAGTTTTATTGCTCTCATTTTCAGCATCTGAAGCTTTAATTTGGCATCGACGAAAAAAGAAGAAGAATTGAGAATTGTGTTTTGGGTTTTATCTTTCTAATGAGATGTTCATTAGCACAAGAAACTGAAAGTTGAATGGGAAGCTTTCTTTCCTATTATTCAGCCACATGAGGCACACAGCATACAGTCGACAATGAAAAGATCAGATATGCACAATAAAATAATTAAATTTACCTTAAAGAAGTAATGTGAAAAGCTTTAGAAAGCCTCAATTTTTGCATTATTTCTATTCTTTTGCAGTTTCAATGTCCATGTGAATTGGACCAACCTTGAATAGCTACGCAAAACTATGGCAAAAATCTGCTGGCGCACCTTTTGTATTTAATTAAAGAATAAAAATATGAGAAAAATGCGATTTTGATGACTTTAATGACGATACTTAATGAATTTTTTCGTTTGTTTTAATAAAGATGATTATATTTATATCTATAGATTATTGTGTAGGATTGCTGCATTAATATTATTTTTATTGCTCTCACGAAGTTTGAATTAATTGAAAATTAAAATTATTTATTGAAAAATTGAATCTGAAATGTCACATAAAAGCAATCGCGTGACTATTATTGCATAAATTCGATATTAATTTAGCATAAAAGGAGCAAGTCTATAATAGAATAATAATGAAATTGTAACTAGAATCATGCATGAAAGTTCCACGAATTTCTTTTATCAGAAAATTTCAATTCAATCGAATTATTGTGCAATTGACATGTGTTTTGCAATTCTTTATACTTTTCTTTGAGCAAGTGTTGCTTTATCATTTATGATTTTTTTGAATGATTCATGTTAAGCACGAAACTAAGTTCAGAATTGCAAATCAAGTCTGAATTCAAAGTATTCAGTCTATTGGGACAGAAGTGAAACATCAAAATGGCAAAACAACAGAACAAAAACTCCTGAAAGGGATTCGAACTTGTGGCATATGATTTTCGATCGAATACTCCTACCACTGAGCTACCGGGGGTTAGTCTCCTATGTGGCTAATTCCCAAATATATATCATGACTAGCTATTTAATACTTAATAATAAAACATGGATTTAAGCATTCAAATTCTCTCACTGCTAACCAATGTGCCGCGGTACACAGTTTGAGAACCACTGAGCTATTACTCGGAATTTGTTTGAACAGCGTTGTTTAATTAGGGGCCGTTTACTTATTACGTTACGCAAAAAACGACTTTTCACCCCCCCCCCCCCATGTTACATTTTGTTACAATTTTTCAAACCCCCCCTCCCCTCTAAAATGCGAACGTAATAAGTGAACGGCCCCTTATGAAGTAAGGATTTTTGGACCTAACCCTCATTATTCTTTATTGAATCCTGGTATAAATTTTCGATTTAAAGATTTTAACCTTAGCTTGTGTAAACGTTAAGCTTCAGCTTAACTGAAATAACAAAAGTAATAAAGTTTGTCTTAAGAGTTTTGTATCTGAAATTCAGAGTTGAGTCTTGCTGACTTAAAATTTTCTTGGAAAATCAACAAAATGTTCATATTAATCGCGGCACACAGTTCAAGAACCAATGGATAAAGATGTCTGAAAATCTAAGATCCACTCATTGGTTGTTAATATGGACCCAAGACGAAACTATAACAAAATCCCTTAGAATTAAGATTGTTGACAACTTGTTTTCCTTTTCTTGGACAGCGTATGGACTTGGGTAAATCAATCAATGCAATGAACCTAGCAACAATTTGTGTGTTTCGCAAATCTCACAAACCCAGCTGTTTAGCTAGAATCGCTGAATTGAAAGCCTTTTATTCATAATTGTTCAAAAACATAACCTGAAATAATTAAAATTCTAAACTGTTCTAGATCAAATCTTAACAAACTTATCTCGTATGTAGATCAGAGATTGAAAGAGAAACATGATCCGCCGAAAGGAATAGATTAATTATAATAGCAACTAAATACACGATTATTGCACAAATTTGCCAAAATAAAATCACACATTACAAAGCCCACACAATCATTCAATAACAATTCAACCTCAACGAAGAAGAAAAACATTCGCATTAGGCTAAACATTTCGTATTTGTAAGCATATCCATAAAACTTTAAAGAGAGAGAAAAATATAAAATCATTGTTATTGCGACTTACTCTTTCTTCACAGCAATGGCACGCGAGCATTATAATTTCATCATAAAAGGCATCTTAGTAATTTACAACTGTAGCTTCTGGGTATGCAAAAAGATATAAATGTCATGAAAGGAACAAGAGCTTTATATTTTTTTTTTTTTGGTCAAATGACTTTATTTATGGTTTTCCTTTTTCTTTGATTTTACACAAAAAGAAAGTAAAATTAAGCATCATAAACAAATCACTTTCCAGCGATTTTGTTGCAAAAAATAATAATAATAATATTATTAATAGAAGAATTATTTTTTTATTTATCATATTTGAACAATACGATGTCATTTAGTGATAACTTTAAGGTAAAACATTGGATTTTAAATCTTTATTATTAAATGGAAAGTGTAAAGAACTCTTCTCGTGTGTGTTTATGTGAGTGAAGTGAACCTATTTAATGCTTCTTGGTTGTTTTCCGATGCTTTTAATATAAAATAGAAAAATTGAGAGTCGCGAGGAACAAATTGACAATTGAGTCTAGTCTCAGCCATTCGTCGCAATACAATTTAACAAACTTTTCCTTTCAAAAAAGGAATAAAAAGAAGATGAAAAAAAATGTGAGACAAGACAATTGTCTATCCAGTCTGACTCAAAATTTAGTTCCTTCTTGGATTCTTGCCAGCAGCTGCTTTATATGGCATGCCTTGTTGACTATGATAATTATGTTGTTGATGCGGTGGAGGCATTTTTTGTTGCGATGAAATGCGATATGAGCCCATTTGTGGTGGCTGAACAAAATTATTTATGGGCGGTGTTGGGCATGTTGGGACAGAAATTAGTGGCACACAATCTGTCTTTCGAACTTCCTCAGCATTTCCATATTCGGTGAAGAGAACAACGAATGTTGAGTCGCTATTGCCAGTAATTTTTGCGTTGTAGAACTGTATTTTTTAAGTTACAAAGAGAATTGAGGCAAAATATTAGTACATGAACAAATTCTTGAGCATGTACTGAGCACAACAAAAAGGTGTGATTTTATTAAATTTGAACAAACTCTTCTGAGCATTCATAAGAGGATAAATAGTGTCACAAGGATGGGAATCATAAAACTTTAAAGCTACTCACCTTTCCGTCTTCCCAATATTTAGCCAAACATAAATCACCAATTTTTAATTGTTGTGGCGGTGGAACTTGCTGAATTTGTGGTGGTTGAACACTTTGCATAATAATCTGTCCTGGATAAGAAATCGGAGCCGCATGATAAACAGTTGGTGGAGGATTAGAAGTTGCCAAGACAGTTGGCTGTGGCAAAGCATGCATAACTTGATGCTGTACGAATGATTGAGGTGGTGGTTGTTGTATAGAATGCATAGTCGGTGCCTGATTTGGTGCATTTTGTGGAACAGAATTATTAGAAAATGGTGGTGGTGGACCCTTAATTGTTTGCTGAGAGATCACTGGTACAGGAATTGGAACTTGTTGAGGTGTTGGCTGTTGTGCTGGTGCTTGTTGCTGCTGTTGTTGTTGTTGTTTTTGTTGCCAATTTTGTGGCATATTTCCTGGAATATTTTTTGTCTTCAAAGCGTTTTTAGCCTGCTCATTTCCTTCCTTACTTTGAAAACCAACAATTGGATAGTTTGACTGCGCATTTGATTTAGAGTAATTTTGCTTCGTCTCATTGGTGCTTACCAATGGTGGATAGGAACTCGATTTTGACTCATATGATGAATCGTACGACTTATATGACTGATGATGATTTCCTTTAAGATTCATCTTTTCCATAGACTCAACAATATTCCTCGGAGGCTTTTGATACATATCATTAGAATGCGATTGATGTTGATGATGGGGCATGCTTGATGAATTGTTATGTGATGAGACATTATTATTGGATCTGGGTGGTTTGTCGTATTTGGAATTATAATTACTGTTATTAGCACCAGATGACGAATAATTATTATAATCTTTATTATAATCCTTGCTGTAATCCTTGTTATAATCTTTATGGTAATCCTTATTATAATCCTTATTGTAATCTTTAGACGGATTTTTTCCACCATCCCTGTTATTATAGTCGGGCTTGCTGCCATTATATTCAGGCTTATGACTTCCATACTCATGCTTCTGTCCACTGTAATCTGACTTTTGTCCACGATAATCTGACTTCTGCTCACTGCTATATTCAGGCTTATTTCCACCATACTTGCCTTTGTTGCTTGCTGAATTATTGTAAGAATTTTGCGAACCATTATTAGCAGCATTCGATGATGTAGAATACGAAGAAGGCTTTTGACTTGCAGAATGAGATGATTTTGAGTACGCATTTGTAGATGTTGTATTTGGTTTTGATGAATAATTGCTTGATTGGTACGATGACTGATGTGATTGATACTTTGAGTCCCTCTCTCTATCTCTTGGACCATCACGTGAATCTTTATGTCTGTAATCTTTATAATCACGAGAGTGTTCCTTAGAACTGCCTTCCTGATTACGATAGTCATTATTACGTGCATTATATGAATTCTTTTGATAATTTTGACTAGATTTCTGTTCATTTGATGAAGAATACTGAGACCATTGTTGAGATTTATTTGAATTCTCCTTGTCGTGCTTACGAAAGCTTGATGATATGTTATTCTCGAATCGCTCATTATTATTACTATTATTGTTATGAGCGTACGACGAAGATTTGGCAGTATTAATATTTGTAGTAGTACTTGTCGTTTCAGGAATTTTATTTTCAAGAAAATCAAAAAGCGAGACACCAGTTGAAGGCTTAGATAACGGCGGTTCTGAACTGTTATTTCCACCCTTTCTATCTCCTCTTTTATTGTTGTAATCTCTTGTGCTTTCACGAGGCTCATATTCATGCGAATTTGCACGCTGTTGCCGATCATCGCGTCTTTTGAGATTACCTAAAGCCTTCTCGACATTATTCTTTGCATATTTCAATGCGACAGTTGCCTGCTCTTCCGAATATCCTTTATCCATTACTTTTTGAACATTCGAATCCACAAGAGTTTTATTTCCACCGCCAAAGGTCTTACGTGTCGCTGCTTTTGATGCTTCGGCGATAGCATCTTGTCGTTGAGCATTAAATTCGGAATTTTCTTCGCCGTCTTTTGTCTTGCTTTGTTGGAGACTTTTGAAACTTCTATCATTAGGGAGATTCTGTTGGATTTTCTGACCAAATGGAATAAATGGAGGCGCCGTTCCACTTCTATTACCTTTTATATACGATATATTAAAAATAATTTTACATAAAATTCATAAGCACTTGACACTTACCTTTCATTTGAGTCGCAAGAGATCTGGATATTTCCCACTTGGATACTAACGATTCGACATAACCACCCAAAATATCCATGTTTTTTGGCGTTAACAGTAATTGACCATTTGCGTACTTAAGTTGCTTGACTTTGAGAGAAATCTAAAATCGAAAAAAAATCATGAAAATTAAAGAAAGTGGCATAGAAAATGTGGGTTGCGAGACATAATAAAGCATGTTGGGATGATGTAAGGAATGAAAAAGGAGCAAGGTCAATGACATCAAAAATGGTATAGAGAAAAAAGGACATTTTTAATAATGTTCGGTTCTTCTTATTACCTTTGTGCCAGGTCGTGTCTCTAATGATAAGGCAGTCGGTTCCATTTCAATCGCTGAATAAGTGTTTTGTCCATCAGTTAATTGTAATTTCATTAATTTAGGAGCAGTTTTAGACATCTCATTGGATTTTGGTGCGGATATGTTTCGTAGTTTAAGAATTTGCAGCACAACCAAATCGTGTTCAATATTTTCGAATTTTCCTTTGTGCAAATCACTTATTCCAGCCCCAATTTCTCGAAGATCCCGCTGAAAGCATTAAATTACCTCATTATATACTTTCTTTAATTAATCTCATTTACTTACATCCAATAACACTTTGGAAATATTCTTTCTTGCAGAGCCCTTTAAATCGATTGTTTTTAAGCCGGATTCGCTTAATATCCTAGAAATTGCAATAAAATTATTAGCATCCGTAGCTTGTATGATTGGATAACAGTTAATTATAGCTTAGAACTACTTACCAGCCTTCCTTTTTTAACAATTCCGAATCTTCATTCATTTTTTAAATTGAAAATATTTAATTCTTTGTCGATGATGTTTCGTTTTCCCATCGACACACTTTTTTTGACATAAATTCAATATTTCAAAATCCGTTAAGTTAAAAAGATTAATTTTACTCACACAATTACAACAAAAATTAATGAAAACAAAAATTTGTGCAACATGAAATCTTTCTGTTTTCTTAAAGATTGCGACAATTTTAATGGAGATTTTGATTGTATATTACATTATTCAAAGATCGTTAATGAAGCCCAACAAAAGATTATTACGCATTACAATGGTAAGTTAAGTTAATTTAGAATTTTGTGTTTTTGAACTGACTTTTTATCAAAACAAAACATCCAGCAATGAGATCCAGAATGGAGGAAGTTTTGAACGACAATGTCAATTATGAGGAAACGTACGTTTACCAATATCATTTACTATTCCTTGATATTAATACATGATCTATTTTAGTGCCAAAAAGAAATGTAAGAATCAATTTGATGCACTTTATGGTCTAATTAAAAATCGTGTTGAAGGTATAGGCGGCTCAGAAAGTCCATCATCAAGTCTAGGAAGCAGGAATAGTTCCCAAAAAACTGTAAAGAGAGCTTCAGGAGGTGGTAAAGAAAATTCACCAACAAAAAAGACGAGATTAAAAAGCAGCAGATCAAGTAAAGAATTATTTAAGGATATCAGCATTGACTCCAGGCCACCTAAAGAGAAACGTACGAAACAAACAAAGTTGCCATTTTTTACTACTTCATCTGCTAAAAAGCGATGTTCGCATGACGTGTTAAACGATGATGATGACATGACTTATTGTGAAGAAATAGAGCGAGGCTTTATAAATCCTAATGCAGTTTTAGCAAATAAGTCTGCACAGGATACTCCTGATATTTTTAATTTTGGGACACTCGAGAACTTTCATAATAGAAAGTCCAAAGAAAAGGTATCAACTGCTGTTGAGAATTCAAAGGAACTGACTCCACAAAAGGTTCTTGGAATCAAAATTAAAACTGAGAAAAAGGATGATAAAAGTTTTACAACACCTTTATCCCCTGACTTATTTCTATCTGATTTAAGTAATAGCAATAATAGTGTTATTTTTATTGAACCACCGGAAAAGGAAGTCATTTCCATTTCTGACCGCACATATAATCCCTCGCGTGACTTATTACAGGAAATTCAAAAAGAAATTAAACAATCGCGTAATAAATTATACGAAGACTCTGATCCTATTCCAACACCGCCAAAAGTGCCGGTTGAGGAACGTGATGCATATGCAAATGAATGTATGGATTGTCAGATTGTAAGTACATGAAGTTTATTTTAAATCCTAAGATTAATTTATAAACATCCTGATTTATTTTTTAATCCTGAGATTAATAATTAATCAATTTATTGACAGTTCTACGACAACATAGTTGAGAAGAAAAGCCTGTCTGAAGCTAATACTGAAATAAACAATTGTCCAATTGAATGTGATGGATGGAAGGCACGATGTAGGAAGCTTCGGAAGGACAATAAGTCACGCAAAAATGGAATGGTTATTATCAAGTGTAATAGTAAATTTGCCAGGCGCAGAAAGGAGGATACAGTCAATGAGACAGCACCAGGATTTTGGGATTTAGAAGTTGAGCCTCGTAAAAGCAAGCCGCTGTTTAGAAAACAAAAAAATGAAAACTACGAGACGCCTGACCTCTGAAACATAATAGCTTTAAAGTACTTTCAAGTTCAAGTTTCACTTTTACGTAATGCGCGCATTTAAAAAGTCGTTTTGTTGCTTGTTATTTTCTAAAAATAATTTTTTTCCTCTCTTTTCCCAAGTTTCTTTGCTTTTATAACAGCACACAAACAGCAAACTTTTAAAGTCCAGTCAAAAAATGCGAAAAAAACGAAAACAAAAAGAATTTTGTGATAAAATTATTATAAATTTTTTGTTCAATTCCCGAACACACCAAAAATTGATTTTAAAAGAATTCTTTTTTTGGCAATAATTAAGAATAAATAAGGACTCTTGCATTTTGAATTATATAAGTAAATAGTAACAAAAATGGTTTCATTCATGGCACGGCAATGCTTGACATTTTTTGAATATTTTATTGTCCCAGAAAAAAAACTAGGTAAATTCATTGTAAAACTATTCGAAAATTTCATACAACCAAAAACATTTAAAATATTTACCGATTTTTTGCAATTCAAAAACTTAAAGGTTTCCAGAAATTTAAAATTTTATCAATCTTAAAAAATTTAAATTTCAACCGTTAATTTTTGAATAAAAAAGTTGTTAAAAGTCATCACAATCTAATTTGTTACAAATTTTAATGCACACTCAAAGATGTTGAAACTTGCCGTACCTTGACTGACTTTTTATATGTATTCATAAAATTATTAACAATTTGTTTTCTTCTTTGTTTCTCTTATACGACTAATTTAATTGGCCGCACGAGAAGTCCTAATTAGGTTTTTCTTTAAAAAATTACTGGATAACAAAAAGCTTGATTCTTAAGAAAAGAAATAAGTCTATAAAATTCACCATGCAATGCGAGCTATTCGAGCTTTTTCTCAATGTCTTGTCTTTCTGGCTTATCGATAAATTCAATTTCATCGCCCACTGATTCGACTTCCAATTCGTCGTTCTGTTCTTGCTCCTCTGACTCCACAATTTGTTTGGGTTCAGTTTCTGTGACATTTTGTAATTTCCGCTTTGAAATTTCATTGTCTGTGTCTAAAATAACAACAAGGTATATATTTTAATGTAAACGATATAAAGTTATGTGCGGATATACCTGAGCAACTGCTTGAATCAGACGAAGATGGCCTTTGAATGTTGAATGAAGGTTGTGACGGCTGTAATGCTAATTCTGACGATAATCTCGGTGCAATTGGTCTAAGCTTTTTAGCTGGATTAAAGAAATTACAAAAAGCACATCGAAAGGCAGCATATTCATATTCCTCTTGTAGTGCCATACCTATTAACAACATTCCAGTCGTTATTATTCATACTGTGTTAATTAAACTATAAATAAAAATTAATTACCATTATGCTTAAAGCACTGCTGGCAGATCATGGCAAATCTATTGGCTGGACCGTCGCCAATTAAGTAATCGACCATTTTATCCACAACAGATTTCTGACTATTATCAATAATTGGATATGGCGTTCGTTTCATTCCTCGAATAACGGCGACAGAAGAAGGAATAGCAACTGTCCGATTTGGATCCATTTGAGGCGTTTGAGCATTCATTCTTTGTTGTAAAATATTGCGATGAACTAATTGTCTTCCAGCTACTGGAGTTTTAAAATTTCCGCCTAATGACGGTGTCATGTTTGTGCTTGTATTAACCATAACTTTCGAGATATTGTCAGGTGGCGATGCTGATGATTGACGTGATGGTGTTGAAAATGATCGGTCATTGACATTGCCAAATCTTTGTAATATCTCAACTGCGTCCTTGTATGTTTCCTTTGTCTTAACATGATCTAATAATTCCCGCTTTTCAGTCCTCAGTTCGGCTAGTTCTTCAGCATTTGAATTGACCTTTCTTTGAAAATAATATGCGACTAGATTTTTAAGAAAAAATATACTGCAGCGAGCAAAAATGAAATAAAATGGAAAGGAGATAAAAGTGAATTAGTAATCAACATTAGTGAAAGTTCAAAAATCATTGTGGTATATCCATAATACTTACAATGCAGGCAACAAAATAATCGGAATTGAATAAAGTACTCGTTTTTCTAGTGTTTTTGGCAAAAATGCAAAATAAAATGCTAGAAATGCCACTACAGACGATCCCAATCCATACAACAGAACATTTCCAACAAATCGTTTCTGTTTCAATTGATATAGGTCCGAGAATTCCTCTATTTCTTTTATTTTTAACTCGATTGCTTCCAATTTTTCATATGTACTTTTTTCTCTTTTCTAAAAATAATAATATAACATAATCAATGTCGATTTTAGATCACTTCCTTGAATAGCTTGTAGCTTACCCTTTTAAATAATCGCGAAATCATCGAACCCATTGCTCCGCAGACTAATAATAACGAAAAATCTAGTTTAATTAAATTGAACAGGTCATCAAGTTAAAAAAGTTTTGATTCACTTGCAGAACAAGTTAAATCCACTTTATTTGTCTATTTCTTTAGCGCACCTCTTTACTGTATTACTTCTTTCCACATTCACTGCTTGTCGATCACTAGTTTAATTTATTTTTAATCATTAACAAACCAATGAAACGCATTTGCTTGTAAAAAAAATACTTTCAAAATTTAACGGATTTTATGAATACCAAGTTTTGATAAAGCAACGCTTTAAAATTTCAAAAATGTTCGTTTTAAATTGATTGGATTTTATTATGAAACCCACTCCTCAATGATTTATGATGACAAATCTCTAAGCCACTTGTTTATTTACAAACATAGACAAAGTATACGTGTTTGATTTCGATTGTTGCGCAAAAATGATGCTTAACTAGGCTGACTATCTACTTGGATTTTCAGAGGACAGTCCTCTTTTTTTTAAAAATAAAATCATCCAGAAAACAAATAAAATTGATCGAAATGAGGGATGTCTTCTATTTTTCTGAAAAATATCTGGGAACCCTTTGAGTAACTCAATGCGTCATCGGCTGTGCTGCAAACATAAGAAAAACATTCAAAATTTGAAGGTTTAACGGTCTGAACATGTGACAGCTGTAATAAAAACGTTAAAATAAAACTAGTGTATCGGGTAGAAACCCAATGCGGATATATTCACACCGTACCATCAAAAGTCTTATGGATAAACCAAGATTTGCTCAGCATAAGTGGAAGGGTGGGCGTGAAGTACGGCAGAGACCCATATCGACACAGTTCAAAAGTTATACCTAATTTATGTCATAATTATGTCAGCTACAAAAACACTTAGTTTGAATTTTGTCATCCTCGGGAACACTATGAACCAGTACAGCTGATTTTGGTCCAAATCTCGGCCATACTTCACACTTATTTGAGCCACATTTTCTCGTAAATGTTAAAAAGTAATTAATCCTGAATTATGTCGCTATTTTGTCAAGTGTTTTAAGATAAAGAATTTTTTTTTGGTTTCCACAAGAAGAAGAGTATGAACAAAAATCAGATGGGGTAGTCGAAATTTTAGATTTCGGTTTTTTTAAGCTATGCATTACAAAAAGGAATATTGGTATGTGATTTATGTCAGAATTATGTCAATTCAAATAAAACATACAAAAAATTTTTTTGACAAAACCATAGAAAATCAATTTTCAATTTTGGCGACCCTAGTCAAAATCAGTTTGTCACTTTTTTCTTCGAGGGTTTATCCAAATGGATTGAAACTTTGCATTAATATTCTGGTGCTTAAAACAAATACAAATAGAACATCCTAAAATTTTTTTGAGCAAAGAACCAAGTAGGAAATACATTTTCAATTCTGAACTAGGGGCGACCCTAGTCAAAATCAATTTTGTCACTTTTTTCTTCGAGGGTTTATCCAAATGGATTGAAACTTAACATAAATATTCTGGTGCTTAAAATGAATACAAATAAAACATCCTAAAATTTTTTTGAGCAAAGAACCAAGTAGGAAATACATTTTCAATTTTGGACTAGGGGCGACCCTAGTCAAAATCAATTTTCTCACTTTTTTCTTCGGGGGTTTATCCAAATGGATTGAAACTTAACATAAATATTTTGGTGCTTAAAATAAATACAAATAAAACATCCTAAAATTTTTTTGAGCAAAGAACCAAGTAGGAAATACATTTTCAATTTTGGACTAGGGGCGACCCTAGTCAAAATCAATTTTGTCACTTTTTTCTTCGAGGGTTTATCCAAATGGATTGAAACTTTGCATAAATATTCTAGTGCTAAAACGAATACAAATAAAACATCCTAAAATTTTTTGGAGCAAAGAATCAAGTAGGAAATACGTTTTCAATTTTGAACTAGGGGCGACCCTAGTAAAAATCAATTTTGTCACTTTTTTCTTCGAGGGTTTATAAAAATGGATTGAAACTTTTGACGCTGACGACATATAGAATACATTTCTTGCTTTAGATATTTAAAACTGTTTTGTATAAATATTAGTATACTCACACAAAGTTTCACTGTAATTGGATAAACCTTCGAAGAAAAAAAGTGAAAAACTAGATTATGACTAGACCTGTCCCAAGTTCATAATTGAAAATGTATTTCCTACTTGGTTCTTTGCTTAAAATAATTTGGGATGTTTTATTTGTATTTGTTTTAAGCACTAGAATATTTATGCAAAGTTTCAATCCATTTGGATAAACCCTCGAAGAAAAAAGTGACAAAAAAAAAAAAAGAAAGTTTTTTGCTTTTTCTGAAGCAACGGCTGTTCCTACCTTGCCTAAAAACAATACAGCTCTTCTATAGAGCAGCACGGATCAAATGTAAAAAACTAGAAGTCTCTACGATGTCTCGTTATTAAGATTTCTTGCTGATTAACTTGCTTGTTTGCTTGTTTGCTTGCTTACAGAAAGCATATTTTGCGATTTTCTCAGCAATGCCGCAACCAATTTGAAATCTGTTTTTTGCATAAGATGTGAAATTCAAGGCACAAACTTTTTATCTCTGAACATTTTAAGCTTTCTTGCTCCATATTTTCATAAAATTCAAAAATTTGATTTTTCAATCTGAGCAAAACCAATAGATTCACACGTGAAAACGGTGTGAATATAATAATAAAAAGCAAAAAGTAGTTTTTGATTAAAACGTGAGACATTTTTTTTTTTATTTGGTCTTTCATACATCTTAATATGCTGAGTATTGAAGGTCTTTGACGGTTGGAAATGTAATATTGGGGAAATAATGTAGAATCTAAACTTATTTCTTTTCAAATTCAAAAATGTTGCATGTATAATTTCAATGTATCAATAGATATTTAACATTCTGGGTAGTTTGGGCAGGTATGGGCTGAGACTCCAGCTGGGTAAAGTCTTTCTGTGAATCCTGGGAGTGGAGCAACATGATGAGCGTGATGTCCTGGAAGGATTGGTGTTGGGCAGTATGGGAAATCTGGGCAACTTCTTGGATCAACTCCAGCTGGATATTTAGCAGCAGCTTTTGGTGCAGCAGGTGCAACATGGTTGTATTGTGCAGCATTGTTCCATTGTGGTGCTGGGGCCCATTGTGGAGCAGCTGGTTGATGATCCCAATGGTTATAAGCTTGAGCTGGTTGGTTCCAGTGAGCAGCTGGTTGATCCCAATGATTGTATGCTGGTGCTTTAGCGTGGAGTGCAGCATTATCACAGATTGGGAAGTTTGGGCACTTTAATTAAGAAATTATATTATTAATTATTGCAGTTTTTTTAAATCTTTCAAGCACTAAACACTTTGCACTGCTTTTTATTTTTTGCATGTTTGTTTTTTGAAAGCACGAGCACTTGAGTAATTAAAAAGTTTAATAATTATAATTACTTTGGATGGATCTACTCCGGCTGGGTATTTGGCAGCATGTTGTGGAGCTGAGAATGCAACAGCGAAGAGAGTTACGAATGTCACCTGAGGATATTAATTTTTATCACATATTAGATTATCACAAACTAATTATTCCATTTTGATTAATTGCTTCATTATTTTTTTTCGCTTTAATAATAAACACTTGATATAATCCACATAGTGTATCCAAATGAAGGAAAGTAATTGAACCAGAAAACTCACCAACTTGAACATTTTTGATAATTGAAAGGATAAATTAAATATTGGACTATTATAAGAACTATAAAACTTCCAACTGTAATGTGAAAAGATAGACTGAATTAACAAAATCAATTCGCATGCTTTTATACAAGCTTGTTGCTGCATGCTCTCCGAATCCGAATCCACCACACCCTATACGAAAATAATTTTTATTCTCTCACCAGTTTTGACTTACTTTGTATTTTCATTTGAGCAACATTTGAACTTGACTCTTTCTTTCTGTCAAAGGCAGTGCTAGGATGCAGACGTATTACGATAGGAAGTTAAATTTAATTATTTTAAAATTTGATTTTTTGGATATGATTTAAGTTGTAGTTGTAGTATAATCGGAACACAATCAAGTATTAAATGATGTTAAATTTGCATTTATTTTAAGTGAGAGATCTCAATTCTTAAAAAATCTAGATTTCAACGTGTTTCTTCTTGGATTATGAAGCAGATATAAAGCTTTTTAAAATTGAATGTTGAAGTTTTCAGAAAAAATTTTCTTTGCTTAGATCTTCTTATTTTATAAGAATGTTTTAAACTTTAGTTTTATGAAAAGAGCAAAACTGATTAAGAATTTAAATTAGCTTAGTCAACCGACTTCACCCTCTGGTCAATTCCATGTCTTAATTCATCAAGAAGTACATTTTCTACTGATTAAATTTGAAACTTTAAGCTAATTTCGTTATTTGAATTATTCAGTCGAATTAAACATCTAATAAAGCAAATTTTAGCTTTTGTCTTGCATCGCAAAACTTTAAGCAACGATTAACCATTAATTCAAAATATTTCAAATATTAAAAAAATAATTATAAACATCGCTATTATTGGAATCAAACCCACTTACTTATTAATGAAATAGTTATAAATATTCGTGCTGTTTACTAGCTACTCTGCTACAGAAGTTTTATTCTAACACTGGCAGAATCAATTTCATATGATTCAATAACCCAGATTAAGAGATTTGATAAGACAAACATAATTAAACTTGAATTTATAACTCTGAAATATTTTCAAATTATACTTATTTATTTAAAGAAATTTTAGGTACGGAAACTTAATATTTGCGTTTCCTTTTTTCTTTTAATTTTTTTTTTTAAAATGGTTCAGCAAATATTTTTCCAAAAGCATATTTTACTTGAATGATTATTGAGTAGAACCACAAATTTCGAAAAAATAAATTTTTTATATGAAACGCAAAAGAATAAACGTTTTATTTTTTCTTTGAAAAAATAATTATTGAACCAACCTTGATTTTATCACAAAAGATCCTTTTTAAAAAAAATATTCTCTTCTGAATAAACAAATAGTATAACAAATAACACTTGAAGTTTGATTGCATTAAGTAAATAAAATATGACACATACTGGGGACAATAAATCGATTTAGATCCGTTGTGCGACATACGTCATATGTCAATTAACAAGCACAACTAAATTAAGCAACCCACAACTCCCAGATTTGCTTTCTAAGCTACAATCATAAGAAATATTAAAATTTGACGGTTTAAAGGAATGAACATGTGACAGCTGTGATAAAACGGTAAAATAAAATAATAAAAAGCAAAAAGTAGTTTTTGATTAAAATGTGAGACATTTTTCTTTTTTTTATTTGGTCTTTCATACATCTTAATATGCTGAGTATTGAAGGTCTTTGACGGTTGGAAATGTAATATTGGGGAAATAATGTAGAATCTAAACTTATTTCTTTTCAAATTCAAAAATGTTGCATGTATAATTTCAATGTATCAATAGATATTTAACATTCTGGGTAGTTTGGGCAGGTATGGGCTGAGACTCCAGCTGGGTAAAGTCTTTCTGTGAATCCTGGGAGTGGAGCAACATGATGAGCGTGATGTCCTGGAAGGATTGGTGTTGGGCAGTATGGGAAATCTGGGCAACTTCTTGGATCAACTCCAGCTGGATATTTAGCAGCAGCTTTTGGTGCAGCAGGTGCAACATGGTTGTATTGTGCAGCATTGTTCCATTGTGGTGCTGGGGCCCATTGTGGAGCAGCTGGTTGATGATCCCAATGGTTATAAGCTTGAGCTGGTTGGTTCCAGTGAGCAGCTGGTTGATCCCAATGATTGTATGCTGGTGCTTTAGCGTGGAGTGCAGCATTATCACAGATTGGGAAGTTTGGGCACTTTAATTAAGAAATTATATTATTAATTATTGCAGTTTTTTTAAATCTTTCAAGCACTAAACACTTTGCACTGCTTTTTATTTTTTGCATGTTTGTTTTTTGAAAGCACGAGCACTTGAGTAATTAAAAAATTAAATAATTATAATTACTTTGGATGGATCTACTCCGGCTGGGTATTTGGCAGCATGTTGTGGAGCTGAGAATGCAACAGCGAAGAGAGTTACGAATGTCACCTGAGGATATTAATTTTTATCACATATTAGATTATCACAAACTAATTATTCCATTTTGATTAATTGCTTCATTATTTTTTTTTTCGCTTTAATAATAAACACTTGATATAATCCACATAGTGTATCCAAATGAAGGAATGTAATTGAACCAGAAAACTCACCAACTTGAACATTTTTGATAATTGAAAGGATAAATTAAATATTGGACTATTATAAGAACTATAAAACTTCCAACTGTAATGTGAAAAGATAGACTGAATTAACAAAATCAATTCGCATGCTTTTATACAAGCTTGTTGCTGCATGCTCTCCGAATCCACCACACCCTATACGAAAATAATTTTTATTCTCTCACCAGTTTTGACTTACTTTGTTTTTTCATTTGAGCAACATTTGAACTTGACTCTTTCTTTCTGTCAAAGGCAGTGCTAGGATGCAGACGTATTACGATAGGAATTTAAAACTAATTTAATCAAAAGCTAGATTATTTTTTGCCTTTCGTTACAGAAGTCATTTCATCAAAATCTTGATCTGAACTTGATATTGATGTATCAAGCACAGAATAATTTTTGTTAATAATAAATGGAAGATATTTTTGTGAATTTTTATACTAAGTTATCCTTTAAAAAATTCAAAAAAAAAATACCCGCCAGAAAAATTTTCATGACTTCTTCTGAAACTATTCAAAACCCACAAAAATCCTTGACCTACTCATCAAAAAATATCAGAATTTATTCGAATTTTAAGATATCATATTATTATGTGCTAGGTAATACTGAGTGCTAACACCTTAAAAATTATCTTGCCAAAATTAAAATTTTCCTACGTTACATTTCAACAAAAAGAAACACAAATTAAATCCAATTAAAAATTTCCAAAATAAATTTTTGACTTTAAAGTTCTTAATGTTCCAGAAAGTGGAAAAATAGCTGTAACATAGTAGATAAAGTATCGACCAATATCCTCTCTAATAACGGCTGTTGTCGATCCTTAGGAATCATTAGTCATATTGGATTATTTTTTGGTGTGTTACCTTTGCAACTCAGTTTCTTTTTGAATCATGACAGCACATATGTAGCTAGGTTCATTACATCTATATATTACTGCGTCATGTAATTGTGCAGAGTTGCAGTAATTCAATCGTCTTCAATAAAAACATTCAAAAAAATATTATAAATATTTCTTAGTCGAAATAGCAGCTGCTAGAACTTTTAAACTAGATAAAAGATTTCCGGGACAAATCAGTTCAGAAAATTACAGCAGTGTTCCAGGACAAATTCAGTAAATGATCAATAAAAAATTGTAAAGTTAATCGACCAAATGATTAACTTAATTACTGCACTTGATTTGGGGCAGTTCTAAAACTCCTGTTATAAATAATTTGTAATTTATAATTAAATTAAGTAACCCACACCTCCTTGATTTACGATGGCAGCTTGCTAAAGTACTTGATTTTTTGCAATCCGTAATCAACTATGCTCAAAGCGTTAACCTGTTAACAATCGATAGCAATTTTAGTAACCATTTTTAACCACCTCCATATACCGATTTAAAGATCGTCAATTTAGCTGACCGAACATGTGATAAAAACGTTAAAATAAAAAATAAAAAGCAAAAAGTAATTTTTGATTAAAATGTGAGACATTTTTCTTTTTTTTTATTTGGTCTTTCATACATCTTAATATGCTGAGTATTGAAGGTCTTTGACGGTTGGAAATGTAATATTGGGGAAATAATGTAGAATCTAAACTTATTTCTTTTCAATTTCAAAAATGTTGCATGTATAATTTCAATGTATCAATAGATATCTAACATTCTGGGTAGTTTGGGCAGGTATGGGCTGAGACTCCAGCTGGGTAAAGTCTTTCTGTGAATCCTGGGAGTGGAGCAACATGATGAGCATGATGTCCTGGAAGGATTGGTGTTGGGCAGTATGGGAAATCTGGGCAACTTCTTGGATCAACTCCAGCTGGATATTTAGCAGCAGCTTTTGGTGCAGCAGGTGCAACATGGTTGTATTGTGCAGCATTGTTCCATTGTGGTGCTGGGGCCCATTGTGGAGCAGCTGGTTGATGATCCCAATGGTTATAAGCTTGAGCTGGTTGGTTCCAGTGAGCAGCTGGTTGATCCCAATGATTGTATGCTGGTGCTTTAGCGTGGAGTGCAGCATTATCACAGATTGGGAAGTTTGGGCACTTTAATTAAGAAATTATTTTATTAATTATTGCAATTTTTTTAAATCTTTCAAGCACTAAACACTTTGCACTGCTTTTTATTTTTTGCATGTTTGTTTTTTGAAAGCACGAGCACTTGAGTAATTAAAAAGTTTAATAATTATAATTACTTTGGATGGATCTACTCCGGCTGGGTATTTGGCAGCATGTTGTGGAGCTGAGAATGCAACAGCGAAGAGAGTTACGAATGTCACCTGAGGATATTAATTTTTATCACATATTAGATTATCACAAACTAATTATTCCATTTTGATTAATTGCTTCATTATATTTTTTTTTCGCTTTAATAATAAACACTTGATATAATCCACATAGTGTATCCAAATGAAGGAATGTAATTGAACCAGAAAACTCACCAACTTGAACATTTTTGATAATTGAAAGGATAAATTAAATATTGGACTATTATAAGAACTATAAAACTTCCAACTGTAATGTGAAAAGATAGACTGAATTAACAAAATCAATTCGCATGCTTTTATACAAGCTTGTTGCTGCATGCTCTCCACACCCTTTACGAAAACAATTTTGTTTTTGTTCTCTCACAGATTCTGTCTTATTGTCGTCTTACTAAGTTAGAGGCTATAAAGAGGGAGAAAAAAAAGTTGTATTTTCTTTTCGTGCTACCTATATTATTCAATTGGAGCAACTATCTATGAATATAGGAGTCACCACACATATCAATGGATTACCTATATACGAACAGTCAATAAAACTGGATATATCATAACATAGAAGTTTCGTCTATGCATGTATTTACCTTTGAAAACTTGCTGATTGCCCTTGAATTGCGATCGGTGCTCCGGAAAATAAAAATTAGTTTACCGCGCGCTCAACTTTTGCTTTCATCCAATCAGAATTTTTTTATTCCTAGCTTTTTTTCCATTTTAGAAGCGTGCATATTTTACAAAAAAATTCTGGGATTGTCTACATGACACGGTCATTTAGATTATTAATGTAACCATTAAGGAGATGAATGGATTCAGATATCAGGAACAATATTGCTTTCTGAATTATATTTTGATTTTTATGGAGGAATGTTTTTTGTTATGCATTAAATAGACAATTTGGTGCGCATATAAATGAAGACATTAGAACCCTTCAGCTTAAAAATTTAAGATTAATCTGGTGTTGAAATTTATGACTCCAGACTGATGAATTACATTATGCTCAGCTGTTTTTTGAACTCTTGTTTACAACTCAAAATCGCGGTAAATCCAGTTTACAATGAGCATGTAAAATTCATTCAAACTCTTGTGTATTTTATAAGATATTCATGTGAGATATATTTCTTGCAAAGGCTTAAACATTATTTTATTTCAATAATAATAGCCCAGCTTCTTGCCATGATGGAATTCTTAGTGCATTGAAAAATAAATATGAAGTTAATATTTTTATTTTCCAACAATCGGTGTCATTCCTAGTGTGTAATGTATTTTCTTTTATATTATGAATTATAAAACCCATTCATTATAAGATGAAGCTACTTTCGCCATAAAAAATTGCTTTAAGCTGAAAATAATAAATTTAATTGGCGTTTGATAAATTCATGTTACTAATCCGAATAATCTTAATGTTCCAATAAACGCGATTTTATTTGCTGAAAATATTGTAATTAATAAACTCAAATACCTGCTACATTAAATGAATGTTTTATATTTCACTCTAAATTCTTGACTTTATACGAGGCTATTATCAGCTTTTAAGCTAGTTCTGATATGAAAAGTTGTGTTAATTTATATTTTCTTGACAGTTTATTAAGACGTCTTGATTATCTGAAAATCAATGCAAAAATGAATGATTTACAAAATTTTCGCTAATTGCAGGGTTAAAACTACGAATTTATTGTTTAGAAAAAAAAAATGCAACAACACCCCTTTGATCAAAATTTAAATGTCTAATTCTCGTTATAAATTTTGCAAACTCATTCTTTTACATGAGTAAATTAACATGTTTAACTAGCAAAGAATGACTAAGCTTTTTAGTAAGTACATCTATATAAATAATCCTTACACATAAATTAACAAATTAGAGTTTATCTGATTCCTATTAAAGTATTAATAACCATTAATTTTTTAAAATATAAAGCAGATCTCTTATATCAAGATCATGTGAACTTATGCATGAAATATGCAAAGAAAATAAGCCTTGCTTTGTTCGGTAAAACATAAAGGAATCTTATGCTTTTAAAATTTCAAGTGTACTTAAACACAACACTTAAAAGCATTCAACCACTCAACAAGAGAAGTAAAATATGTACACGATCCAAATAAAGAGGGTTCGTTACTTATTATGGAAGAAAGGAGGGATGTGGGGTTTGAAAAAATAATTTCTTAAAATTTTCCTTTATTTTTAAACCTCTTTATTCCCTGAAACCTCTTCGAAAATTTGATATTTCGATTGACATCATTCATAAACGACCCTATAAAAGCGCACTGGATATACAATTAGCATAGAACTTTAGATCAAAGATATATGATAATTCAATGAATATTGAGTAGTTTTATAGAATTCCATAAAGCTTTACATGCCTATTTCTTTTCTCTCACGAAATCGAGTCTCGCAGAGTCATAGAGGGTTGAAAAATTGAAAAACCATGACTTGCTCAATTTTATAACATGAAAAACAAATTGAGGAATTTAATAAAATGAACATTTACATGAATTACAGCATACATATTATGACATCATCATCATTTTTAGTCACAAAAAAAAGTTATATCCAACGGCTCAGTGGAGACACAAAACAAAACTGCAAGACAACAAAAATTTCATCACTACTGACTACAGCAAATGCAAAAATATTGTTAAAATGAAATGCCAATTGATTTATTACGCGCGAGACATAAAAGGAGAAATAGAAGTTGAAAATTGTGAGAGAAAAGCTAATGAGAAAGCTCTGGATGTGAATAAATTGAGCGCATTTTGGATGGCATCTTTTGAAGTTAATAGGAAGTCTCTTGGATGATAAAGAAGCATGGAGAAAACTTTGTATTATTCTAATACTGTGAGCCACCTTTTGAGATTTTTTAACCATAGAAACTATAGCAACAAAGAACATACACCTGCTTTGGTACGAAAAAATACAAATTAGACACCAATGAAAGCACAGGCAAGAAAACCAATCGAACAACCTAAAATGTATCTCGTCAAATAATAATAATAACTGTAATAACACATATTAATATATGCTATATTTAGCTCTATTTCTTAATTGTAGCCTGCTTATGTATAATTTTGTGCTGTAATAATTATTCAAACTGGCGCTTAATGATGGAAATAAAGCATAATCATAATCATGACTAATTAGATTAAAATAAATTGAAGTAAATTTTAATAAACCGGAAATACAGGTTGGAGACTATTCATACATAACATACCAGAGAGGGAGGGAGGGAAAAGGAGATTTCATGCTAAACTTCACTCTCCCATTAGAATCCGGATAATAAACATCACAATTTCATTTATGACGTCAAGGGGGGGGGGGGGGGGGTTCAGCAAGAAAAGAACAATCCTGGAAATCTATTTTTTTTTTTGAAAAATGACCATTAATTTCGGACGTCATAAGTAAACGATCCCTTATCAATTCATACGAAAGGAACTTATAAAGTTCAAGCAGCGAATCTAAGTTAGAACAACAATTCTTAAATCTTGATCTATTAGCTGTACTTAGCACAATAACAAAGCAACTTTCTAGTTCAAAAGATTCAGGAAAAGCTTACAAAAACGAGACAAAACGGGCGTGAAATTGCTTATTGCTAATTGAAAACCTGCACAAAAAAGATATTAAGTGCGCGCCAATGTAAGCAGCACTATGAATTAATTGAATTGATTCATAAAATGAATGAAAATAAATGTCTACATTTCTATTCAGGCACTCATTGACATTATGTGTGAGGGCGTATACAACAAATTGAAGTTTTACAAAGCATACCGTTTAACATAATCAAATGCAAAGTTCATTAACACTTTTTCTTTAGGCACAACTTCCATTTATTATTATTATTGTGTGTTTACACATTTATTTATTAATAATTTTTGATTTATTTCAATCAATTCACGAGACTGCAGCAGCAGTTAATAAAAAAACTAGTGTATCGGGTAGAAACCCAATAAGGATATATTCACACCGTACCATCAAAAGTCTTATGGCTAGACTCAGCATAAGTGGAAGGGTGGGCGTGAAGTACGGCAGAGACCCATATCGACACAGTTCAAAAGTTATACCTAATTTATGTCATAATTATGTCAGCTACAAAAACACTTAGTTTGAATTTTGTCACCCTCGGGAACACTATGAACCAGTACAGCTGATTTTAGTCCAAATCTCGGCCATACTTCACACTTATTTGAACCACATTTTCTCGTAAATGTTAAAATATCATTAAAAAGTAATTAATCCTGAATTATGTCGCTATTTTGTCAAGTGTTTTAAGATAAAGAATTTGTTTTTTGGTTTCCACAGTGAAGAGTATGAACAAAATTCAGATGGGGTAGTCGAAATTTTAGATTTCGGTTTTTTTATGCTATGCATTACAAAAAGTAATATTGGTATGTGATTTATGTCAGAATTATGTCAATTCAAATAAAACATACAAAAATTTTTTTTGACAAAACCATAGAAAATCAATTTTCAATTTTGGCGACCCTAGTCAAAATCAGTTTGTCACTTTTTTCTTCGAGGGTTTATCCAAATGGATTGAAACTTTGCATAAATATTTAAATGCTTAAAACAAATACAAATAAAACATCCTAAAATTTTTTTGAGCAAAGAACCAAGAAGGAAATACATTTTCAATTTTGGACTAGGGGCGACCCTAGTCAAAATCAATTTTGTCACTTTTTTCTTCGAGGGTTTATAAAAATGGATTGAAACTTTTGACGCTGACGACATATAGAATACATTTCTTGCTTTAGATATTTTAAACTGTTTTGTATAAATATTAGTATACTCACACAAAGTTTCAATCCATTTGGATAAACCCTCGAAGAAAAAAGTGACAAAATTGATTTTGACTAGGGTCGCCCCTAGTCCAAAATTTAAAATGTATTTCCTTCTTGGTTCTTTGCTCAAAAAAATTTTTTCATCCATAGTTTAATTTAAAATAAAAAAAAAATCACAGTGAACTTTTAATTTGAAAAATTCGTAAGAAAGGAAAGTTTTTTGCTTTTTCTGAAGCAACGGCTGTTGCTACCTTGCCCAAAAACAATACAGCTCTTCTATAGAGCAGCACGGATCAAATGTAAAAAACTAGAAGTCTCTACAATGTCTCGTTATTGAGATTTCTTGCTGATTAACTTGCTTGCTTGTTTGCTTACAGAAAGCGTAGTTTGCGATTTTCTCAGCAATGCCACAACCAATTTGAAATCTGTTTTTTGAAAATGATGTAAAATTTCCGGCACAAACTTTTCTTCTGTGACCTTTTATAACCAATTTTGCTTTGTTTTCTCACAAAATGCGAAAAACTGATTTTTCAATCTGAACAAAACCAATAGATCCACACGTGAAAACGGTGTGAATATAAAAACGAGTTTTATGGTGCTATGCCCGAGACCTTCAAAGGAATTAGATGTATTAAAAGTGACAAAAAACAGTTGTCAATACACACTCTAATAGAGTTACATTAATTGCTATATTTATGAGTGACTAAACTAATCATTAGGCTGATTGAAAGCTGGAAAGTATAATTTACTAATTAATTTTATAAGTTTTGTCGCATTTTTACATGCTACCGGGACTTTTTATCTCACACCAAGTGATACATTGCATGCATGTTGTTTACTTTTCTATAACTTCTGTGGTCGATTTACAATGTTGTCCAAAAGACAGCACACCGAGCACTTAAAATTTATTGTTAATCACGTTTTCTATGATTTAATGTGAAACATTAATGTTAAGGCATTTAAAATATATTTAATAGCTTTATGACCAATAATGATCGACTAAGGGAGAGAGCGAGAAGAAATAATTCTTCGACCTTTGAACTTCATTCGTATACAAGGCATGCTATGGGGTTCGTTTGGAACTAACGTCTAGTGACATTGACTACAATTCTAGTTGCGGCTGACCCGGCGAGCACAAGAGAACAAATTTTCAGAGATGAGAGCTATTCAAGAATTCAATTCACTAATGGACACCATTCACGTACGAATCCTCAGAAGCACAATCCGATACGCTCTGTACATGAATGGCATTTTCACGAAAATTGCATTTGTCAATGCAGAAATTCTTGGAAATAATATATATAGAGATTAAAAAAATTATAGCTAACACACACGAGTGTACAAGAAACAAATAATAATGTCCATGAAGGCTAACAATGCAAATTCTGCAAGAAATAATAAAACAAAAATTTATATATAAAAAAAATTGAATAAAATTATTTTGAAAATAGATCATGCAATGAATGAATGGAGCGCAATATTTCTTTTATGTACCACAACATTGTTTTATTATTGGTGGTTACCATGTGTGATTTCAATTTTCGTTCGGAAGCTTCCGTGGTTTTTTTTGGGAGGTCTTAATTAAATTCATGCGGTGATCTTTTTGTTTGGATGCAGGTAAAAATTTGAATAAAATGTAACCAGAAGCTTTGCATTCCTTAATGTTCAAGGTCAATTTTTTTTTTTTTGTAATGTGGTTTAAGAATGTTTTTGTGTGGCTTGAATTGAAAAGTAATTAAGCAATTAATGCCTGGCAATTGAATTAAAAATATTGAATTGAACCAATATCAACGAATTATAAAATTTTGAAAATCAACGCTTTACGTTCAAACGATACTGATAAAATGAAGCGTTGCTTGAAGATCAATTTGGTTTGAAAACTTGAAAATAAACTCTTAAAGCAAGAAGCGTCGCTTTAAGTTCAAATTTTTCATTTCACCATTTTGAAATTTTAGAAAGTCGTTAAAATAATCAAAGCACAGAACTTCTAATAATCGTCAAGTTTCTAATTTTTTTAAATTGATTTTTATTGCATTTATTTGTAACCTCGTTAAGTTAATTATGGAGAGCTTTCTAATCCAACTCATCAGCGCATTCCAAGTATTTTTACTTTCGGAATCATATTAGTGATAACGAAATAACCCATCCAGTCAATTAAAAATGAATATAACGCCCCATCTGTTTCGTAAAATTGCTCAAAATGATACAAAAATAAAAGCAAGCAAGAAAAAAAGAGAGAATAAAGCAATAAATGGGTGCAAAAACATGTTTGCAATTCCCATGCACCCAATTCTATATTTAAAACTAAATATCTATCTCTATGTTATTATTATTATTATTATTCAAAAGACTAATGTATGTCCAAGAAATGAATTTCAAGTTCGACAAGAATTCAACCAAACATCGTCGTCGTCGTCGTTCGTTCGACATTGCAAATAATAACAATTACTTGACGTTGTAAAATATTTCTTTTCAACTTATTGGATAATATTAATAATGTAGTGTAAGGTTTAAAATCGTTTATTAACTGTTAGTAAGTAACTTAGCGGTATAATTTATGCACATGGGAAGTTTAAGGAATTAAGAAGAAATAAATACCATGCACATTAATTTGAATTAAGTCAGTTGGAAATAACTGGGCATATTATAATAAAAGGCATGCATTTATTCGTATGTGAATGCAAAAGATTTTGAAAAAAGTGTCAGGCACAATCTAATTCTTTATAATTTCCTAAACGGGTGCGCTTTTTTTGTTTATTTTTCCTGATAATGCTAATGTTACTTCACCTTAATCGCACATTTTATGCTCAATATTTCTTCATTCTCTCTGCTCTATTCATGTCGAAATTAATTCAATTTTTATTTATATTGCCGCATGCTTTGCATCGTTGAGGTATGGGGAGAATGAGATCTTGAAATTGAATGTTTACAGTCATAATAATAAAATGTATAATAAATTTAAGAAAAATAATAATATTGAAATCGAGACGCATTTTCATCGGAAATATTCGCAGAATGACATAAGCCTTATTTTGATCGCATTTTTTATAAGAGTTTAAATGGTTCTCGAACTGAGAAAAAAATGTAAAGTAATTGTTGTAAATTATGCATAATTTTCAGTATTTGACGTGTGCCTGCTCAGGGGCGTAGCCAGGGGGCCCAGGCCCCCCCCCCCCTACGAAAATCTGATAATTGTTTTATTAAGTATTTATAGAGAAGAACCAGTTAATGCAGAGGAAGTGATGAAAGAAATGTCAAAATCAGCGCGAAAAATTAAATTTAATGTATGAATAATGAATTAAATATTTAAACTTATGAAGAATGAATATAGATTTAAGGATACAAAATAACGGTTTTCTAATTTTCGAAAATGGGCCCCCCTTAAAAATTTTCTGGCTACGCCCCTGTGCCTGCTTCTGTTCTGCTGTATTTATAAATTTGTTCTTAATGGCGGTTATTTAACGGTCTTTATTTGAAAATTTGAATTGTTTAAAAATTTGAAGTGATTCGAAAATTTAAATTCCAAAATCCGTTAAATTTTTAAATTTGAAAAATCCGGTAAATTCTATTCAATTATCCTTGAAATAACTCATGATAAGTTCACGGTTTAAACAAACAAGACAAGCTGCAAAAGCGAATAATGTAGAATTTCAATAATCACATACTTAGGCAGCAAAAACAAATAGGATTTCCAGCTTAAAGCGTGAAGCACGCAGTTGATACAATTTACAAGCATTTTCTCATAAATGAAAATGAGGAAGTCATAGATTACAATATTAATGCTTGAACTTCAAAATGTTGCTACAGCACAGTCGCTTTTATTATGCGTCAATAATCTTTCAATAAATTTTTTATTAAACAGCAAGTGCAACAATCCATATTTGAATGGCAGCAATGTGCTTAAAAATCAGTTCAAACAAGAGAAATCCAATTTTAATGTCATTCAAATCGATCGAAGAGATTAGGACTGACAATTCAATTCGTGCCTTTGAAATAATTGTAATTGAAAAAAAAAGAATTTCAACTTTCATGTCCAGTAATAAATATTTTTGCAACATATGTATGACACTTTCAAGTTCATTGATATTAATCATTCAGCCTGTGCAATTTTTTTTCTCACTCCTCATGTTCGTTGCTAAGCAAGCGCCTGTTTAGCTTTATGTTGATTTCTATGCTAACATTTTGTCATACTTCCTTTTATACCATAATTTATTTTTTAATTTATAGTGTTATTGACTCAATTTGTTCTCACTCTTTTTTTTTTTTTGTTAATAATAATCGATTAAGGTTCGAAATAATAGACCGTATAACATATATGTATCAACTTTTTCTCATTATAGCAATTGAAAAGTTGAACACATGTGTGACGTCACTATAAAGCTACGTTAACTAGACCTGCTGAAATTAGATATAAAATTTCCGTGTGTTGAAGGTTTGTAAAATAATCGATTTAACAGTTTTTTAAAGTTTGAAAAGTAACGGATTTGTGGAATTCAAAGTGCTAAGTTCAAATTTTGAACATTATTATTTTTCAAATTTCGAAAATCCGTTAACAGTTCACCCAATGATTAAAAGTAATCTCGAGATTTAACAAAACTTTGGAAAGACAAGCAATTCATAGTGAACTAATTGCCAATTCATATTCACGAATAAGTGCGTTGGGAAAATATGCGATTAATTCAATGTCTCAGCGTAAGTACCTTAAATGATTCTTTTGTGACTGTTAAAAATACAAGAAATTTGAAGGATAAAAAGAGATCAATATTTTTTATGATTGATTGATTGAATTTTATGACTCGACACCTATAACAGTACATGCCTAATGAATATTAATGGATTTGTTTGTATCCATACGACTACCTAGATTTAAATATTATGCAAATCAAATTCAGAACTATCCTTTTCTTACTGTTCATAGCAGTTCATAGTTGCACCTAGTTTTATTTGACTTTGATCTAAATTAAATTTAACTACTGCTGCTCAGACAGCTTTTAGACTTGTTTCAGAATTCTTAACTTTCTGTATTCTAGACTCACTGCAGTCCTTTCGACGACTTCGTCGATGTGCTAATAGATTGGATATACACGAGAACCGTGCCAGGCACTTTTCACACTCAAATCTCTTAATTCCTGTATGGATAGCTGTGTTAATAAAATGTTATGTCTAATTAGTTTGATTGATAGGAACGGTCGTATTTCATACTTACTGTGATGTGTTAGCAGGCTCTCGCGGTGCGCAAATTCTGCCTTACAGTCTTGAAATTTACATTTGAAAGGTTTGAGCATTAAATGAATACGATTATGTACAGTAAGTTGACCTTTTGTGCGAAATTTCTTTTGACAAAAACTACATACATAATTAAGCTCGGCACTGTGGACGGTCAAGTGAACTTTTAAACTTCCAGCTGAATGATAATAATTACCACAATGCTCACATTTGTAAATTGGATTGCTTCCACAATTGCTTCTTTCATGATCAGATAGAGCAACTTTTGTATTAAAATTACGTCCACAAACTGTGCAGACAAAGGAATACTTCTTAGGTTGATACTTTTTCTCGGAATGTGAATATTTCTTATGACTAAACAGCTTTTCAGGATGATCAAATCTTTTCTGACAGTCTTCAATATCACAAACTAGACGATCAGCATGTGACTCAAATTGATGATTTTCCATTTCATCGATAGTACAAAAATATAAGGAACAGCATGTACATTTGTGGATTAAATTGCCATCTTTGCCATGAACTTTTTCATGTTTTTCAACTGTTTTGGCACTTGTGTATTTTTTTGGGCAATATTTGCACTTCCAAACCTGATTTTTTTGTGGTTTGCGGTAACGATTCGCATTATCGTAATTAAAGCTATTTATGACTATTTTGTGTTCCTTTTTCAAGTGCTTAATACTAATATTTCTTTTTGAATAAATTTTTGGACACAATTTGCATTGAAACTGCTCATTAGCTATTGTTAGGTACTGTAATATTTCATTTGCATCGTCAATATTGTTGCTTGAATTTTCCATATTAGTCTTTATTTCAGGATTCTTTCCTTCATAGTCCTCATCTAAATATTCAGATCCATCAGTCAATTCCTCAACAATCATTTCCTGTTCATTGTCGATATACTGTTCTTGTTCCTGTATGTTTCTCATATCAAATGTCATAAAGTCAAAAACTTCCATTTCCTTTTTAGTAAAGTCGTCCTTCATACTCTGTATATCAGCTTCTGTTGGATTTTGACATTCTGCTATGACAATATATTGATGGTCATTGTATGGTAGTTCCTGATTTTCTTCTTGGACCAAAACAATCTCGTTTTGGATATCGGAAGTTATTATCTGATTTACTGGATCTTGTTGAACATTCAATGAATCGGAATCAACGATTATCACAGGTGCCTTTCCTTTAATACATTTTACACCAGCACGTTTGCAAATTTTTTTATTTGTAAATATAGGAAGTCCACAAGTGTTTGGTCGCACCTTTCGATGTTTAATTAAATTGCCGACACAAGAAAAAGTTTGATTGCAATTCTCACATGCATATGGCTTGATTTTAGTATGGACTGTGCTGTGTGTAACTAATGTCTCTCTATGACTGAATGCCTTATTGCATATCTCACAAATAAATGGCTTTTCCTTATTATGACTTCGTTCGTGAACTGTAAGCTGTCCTTTACTAGCAAATGATTTCCCACAATGACTGCACACGAACTTATTACTCTCTTGATGTATAGACTTGATATGCGTCTTTAATGAGTGAATTGTAAGGAATTTAGACTCACAAATGTCACAAATCTGTGGACAGAATTGATTTAGAATTAGAAACATTATCTTGAAATTTCATTTTCCATCTTACGTGATTTTTCTCCGTTGAACATCGTGTTTCTGTGTGAATTTTGAGATTGTATAATGAGCTTAAGGATATACCACATTGTGAGCATATAAACTTTCTTTTATCCTCGAGTTTTCCACTATTTTTAATCATATTTGTGATTTCAATATTCTATTGTTTACCTTTTTTTTCGTGCGAACGCACCTGATTTTTATTATTATTGTTTTGTGAGTACGGCTGAAAAATGGCTATCAAAAAATTGAAGAATTACAATTTAAAGGCTTTTAAGCTGATAATAGCTAGTGTATCGACTGGAAATGTTGGTCAACTTACAGCAGATCTCTTGATTAACTCATTGAAAATGGAAAAGTTTGCTTTGGTAAGTTAAAATACTATAAATTTATCAAAAACAGCTTATTTTTTATGTTCTGGATCTTTATAGTTCTATCATACAGCGATTATTCCAATTATTGGACCGTCGGCTTTTAATGAGGATGAAAATGAGCTCTCTATTTCTAGTGAATTTTTTGTTTCTGAAAGCAACAAGATTCTAATATTACAAATAAGAAGCCCAATTACTTCTTATTACCTAGAAAGTCTATGTGAAACAATTATCGATTTTGTTAAGACTGAAGAAATTAGTGAGATTATTCAACTGTCTTCAGCATTCAGTTATGAGCAGCATTTTGTCCAAAACAATCCTTTTGAGTTTGTTGCTAGTGCCAATTATACAGTCAGTGAAAATCTTACAGCTAATTTCAACAAATCGTCAAATTTACAGATTCCAGGATGTGGAATAGCTATAAAGCTTCATAATTTAGCCACAATAAAACAAATTCCATCATTAATAGTATATAAATATGTCAGTGAAGGTGATAACATGTTTGATTCAATGCAGTTTGCAGAGAAATTTAACAAGTTGCTGGATACGCCAATAATTGAAAAGGAAGGAAGAGCTGATTTAAAAATCCCTATAAGCTGGAAGCATCTGTTTGGTCATGATGTTAATCTTGATATTTATTAAAATTGTATTATATCTTTGAGGCGATGGAAATAAAATTAATGCTTTAATAAAAATCTCAATTTTTTAACGGATTTTTTGAATTTCAAATTTTTGTTTATTTACAAATTGAAAAAATTAAATTGGAAAACTTCAAATTAATTTTTCTTTAAATACATTGAATTAATAACAGGAAGTGAACATGTCATTTGTAGATAATGATGAGGATTTGTGCCCATCAATTGAAGAAGAAGAGCTTTGTCTTCCACGTGCAAGCATTAACAAAATAATTAAGGAAATTGTACCTGCTTTACGAGTTGCAACAAATTGTAGAGAATTAATCCTTAGCTGCTGTACAGAATTCATCCATCTCATCAGTTCTGAAGCTAATGAAATATGCAGTAAGAAGAACAAGAAGACAATTAATGGTAAGTTAATAAATTTTGTGAATTTAAAGATCCAGTAATATCAAGAAAAAAAAATCTCATATCTAGCTGAACATATTTTGGAAGGACTAAACAAGCTAGGATTTAGTGATTTCACAAGAGATGCTCTTAACATTCTAAATGAATGTAAAATGCAAGCAGCAAAACGTCGTCGTGAAAGCAATCGATTAGAGAATTTGGGAATATCGGAAGAAGAGTTATTCAGGCAGCAACAAGAGCTGATTCAACAAGCTAGAGAGCAGATTAACACAGAATTTCAGCAACAACAGTATGGATTACAAACACAAATCATTGAGCAAAAGGAAAGTTCTGGTGATGATGATTATTAATTGATTAAGTCGAAATAAGCCTTATGCTTAAATTAATTATTTTTATTGCCTTTTTTAAAATTGAAGGAATCAAAATTTAAATCCCTGAATCTGCATGTCCACAAACCCATAATAAAACTTTTTTAAACATTTCAACATCAATCTCTTCAATTACATGGACATTAGGCTTAGTTAAAAGTTTATGGTCAATGACCATTAAGCCACGAGCATATTCACCACTTAATTCCACCGTCGCTGAATGATGCTTCATCTTTAAAATCATGTTTGGGAATGCAAAGCATGCAATCATATAGGCATCACATGGTGTAAAGTTTTTTCTTGACGGCTCGCCTTCAACTTTATCCATCAAGTTCATTATGTCACTTTTGACTGTATTTAAGACACCAAATCTCCATCCATCGAAAAGTGTAAATTCACTGGATGTTAAGCAAACTTCCCAAGGCAGCATTTGAATTGGACATTGAGTTTCATTAAGGACGATTCTAGCAGCTTCTGGATCATACCAAAAATTAAATTCAGCACATCTTGTTACATTTCCAATTCCCATGAAATTTCCACCCATGATGTGTAGTGCCTTGATCTTACTCGAAATTTTTGGATACATTTTGTACAGCAATGCGACATTAGTCAACGGACCAACACTAAAAATTATCACCTCATTTGGACTCTAAATAATTTAATCTTTAAGTTATAGCATTAAAAGAATTACAGTACCTTACCTCCTCAATTAAATCCTTGATTGCATCGACAGCATGCTTCTTTTGCACTAAATCCAAGCTTGGCTTTTCAGATGGTAAAAAAACATCTTTTAATCCATCATTTCCATGATGTGGACTCATAAAGACACTTTTTGGAAGAATACTATTCTCAGCTCCAGCATAAACTTTGATATCCAAACGATTCAGAGTTTTTAAGACTAGCAATATATTTTGGCATCCATGATTTACAGGAGTATTTCCAGTTAGAACTGTAATAGCTTGAATATCAAGATTGAACCTGCCTTCACATTTTAATAAAGTTATTAAAGCCCAAACATCGTCGGTTCCAGCATCCGTATCAAATATTACTTTTTGTTTCGACATTTTTGTAACGGCTCGTTGAGAAAAATATAGACAGCACTATAACTTTTTATAGCTTGGAAATCACCTAAAAACTAAACTAATCTCAAACAAAACAGCTCACTTTATACTTTTCAACAAAAAAACCGAGATAAAATTCAATGTCAAGAACACATTTGAGTTTAATGTACTTCCATTTATTGTTATCAAAAGTCACACACATACAGTTTGGCACAAAGATATTTGGTATTCTATAAAATGAAAACATTAAAGCTTGAAACATTCCCTTTTCAGTATCAAATGCAGTAGTTCCTATTGATCCACTGCGAATCGTAGGGCGTTAGTATAGCGGTTGAACAGGTTTCTGTCCCTGGCAATAAAAGCAGTAAGTGTGATAAAAAAAAAATTCTGTCAATATTCTTATAAATCTCCAACTTCATGATTGCACACCCATTTTACAAAGTTTTTAAATCTTTCAACGTCAATCTCTTTAATAATTGTTGCATTTGGCTTGTTGTTCTTAAGATGATCCATAACCATCATAGCTTTGGTATGAGTTCCTGATAATTCAATCGTGATATGATGTTCCTCACTTTTCTTAATGATTTGAGGTAATATGAAAGTTACAGCTAGGAATAAGTCACAAGGCATCCATTCTTTCCAGCCTTTATATGAAACCTTCTCAATTGGATCTAAGAATTTGGTGTAGATGTTGTTATTGCATGCCAGTACATTCATTCTGAATTCTTCAAAAGGCATCAAAACTGACGATTCAAGACAAGGTTCCCATGGAAAGACATAGATTGGACACGTTGTATCTGCAAAAACAATATGGGCAGCTTCTGGATCTGAATAGAAGTTGAATTCGGCATGTCTTGTTATGTTACCAACGCCTAAATAATGTAAACAAAATCTTATCTAATCAGGCTTGATATGATTTTACAAATATTTAATAAGCTTACCTAAGTGATTGCCTCCCATGATATGAAGACTTTTGATTTTCGGAATCACGTCTGGATAAAGCTTATAAAGTAAAGCAATATTTGTTAAAGGAGCAATAGCCATAATGATAATTTCATTTGGATTCTGGAAGGGACAACAGATTTGTTAATTGGATATTAAAATCTAATGATTAACAACTCACTTCCTCAATATAATCTCTAATAGCCTCTACAGCATGCTTCTTTTGAACTAGATCATAGCTTGGTTTATCACTTGAATCATAGACGTTGCTCAATCCATCGTCTCCATGAAACTTTTCTTCCTTCTTGTCAGGATCATGGATCAGATGCGATCTGGCACCAGCATAAACAGGAATATCAGATCGATCACAAACTTCAAGCACTTTCAGAGTATTTTGAACACTATTTTGAACATTTGTATTTCCATGAACGCACGAGATGGCAATGACTTTAAAATTAAATCTTTCTTCTGATCTTAAAAGTGCGAATATTGCCCATGCATCATCATTTCCAGTATCGCAATCAACAATTACTTTCATAATTAATGGTATAAACAGAACTAAAGAAGCGATAAGTAATTACTGAAGCACAGTTATCAAATGACTAAACTTACCGGAGTTGTATAGGGAATAAAAATATTAAGAAACAAGACATAGAAGAGAGAAAAACAGAAAGAAACTGATTAATGTTTATATTCTCAATACTCAATCAGATGTTTTCAAGGTCATTCTCGTTCGATTATTCTCTCTTCAATGAGAGAAAGGGACTGTGAGAAAGCATATCCGAACCGTTTAAGCATCAAAAATAAACGAAAGAAGGTAAGTGAACTGTTATAGTTTATTAATTTTATCAGGAATGCTATCTTTTATTGGGCTTATCAATATGTATGTAGGAGAAAATACTTTACTTTTGTGTGGTCAATAGTTTATCGGTGACTCTAAAGGCAGATCACTAATTACGTAACATGTCAATGAAAACATCTTTTGAAAATGCTTTGCATCAACTGGAAAACAATGTTTTAAGTTAAAGCCGGATGATAATGATTCATAAAAATGATCAAAACACCCATTTTGTAAAATAAAGAGAATTTATTTTCGTACTTTACCTTTGATTTTTGATTTGTTTAATTTTTTTCAGTTTTTATTTGATCGTTGAAGACACAAAACGTGTTTTATGAAATTCTAAAGGCACGGTTTAAATTAATTAAAAGTTGAAGTCAGTGAAATAAAAGTGGAACTTAGCTAAGCTTTTGATTGATTTCTCTCAATCAAAGCTTTAGTAATAAACTCCTTTTATTTAATTCATTGATATAAGGCGGAACAAAAAATATAAGTGACATGATATTAACCTATTTCGGTTTTAAATCAAATATAGAAGTTTGAGAATTAATTGATAACAAGATATGAAATTAGGATAGTGACAACTTGAAATGTGGTCAGAAAAAATTATAAAAAAAAGACCAAAAGTCAATCAAAGCTTTAATTTTGTGCTTTTTGTAAGCTTTTTAAAAGACAAAATCGTTATTAAGAACACGACTAGCAAAGTAAGTAAATTATTCTCGTTTTTAATATATCTATATATCTTTATTTTTAAGGTGATTTTTCATTTTTGTTACGTTACAAGTAAACAACCCCAAACCAATCTCTTTAATTTTATTCTTGATGATGTGTTCAATTTCCACATCATCATAGACATGATCTGATTATCGATAGCCACATTATCAAGGTTAATCTAGTAAATGATGTCAATTTTTTATCATTCGACCTTGAGCTTATTGGACAGTAAATATGAAAAAAAAATATTGTTGTCATTGCATGATGAATTTTATTCAGTGGGTGTTCGAGTCAAAATTAGGCTGGTAGTGTTGAATGGAATGTGTCATGATAATATAAGAATAGCCAATAAAGCAAATTCAGAATTCCAAATGAAGCTGAAAAGAACAGTAAAGGAGAAAAGAAAAATTAGGAATAGATCAACTTTTGCTCAAACATTTTCAAACAATCAGTTTGCAAAAGACCAAAAGATTTTAAGCAAAACAGTTCGTTGAAACTTACTAGGAAAGAAGACTCTGGCAGCACGATCAATTAACGATACCGAGTTGACATGCTTTTTCGGACCAGAATTTGCTTCCTTTGTTCGCTGCTTTCTAAACTCATCGTCACCAATAAAACATAGCCAAACTTGTTTCCATTTTGGTTTTCTTGGTGGCTCGGTCTGTGTCGTCCTCTCCATTGTTGATAAATGTGAATGCGTTCCTGATTGTGATTCAGAATGTGTTGAATTGTAAGCTTCATTGTATATTGGACAGATCATTGAATTTCGAAGACGATTGTTCAGTAATCTTTGTGGCGAATCTCGAGATGATATTAAGGAATGATTTAGTGTGCCTCCTATTTCCTCTACTGTGTCTACGTCTTCCCATTCGTCATCATCTAAAATGAATTAAAATTGAATTATAAGTTGATTTGCAGACACAACAAAATTTCTCATACCAGCATCAGAAATCGGAATCTCTCCACTGCCAACTTTGGTGAAATAATGAACACCAGCAAATTCCAACAATGTTGCGATGCAATAGAAAAAACTCATCAATAAAAACCAATCTAATGCGGTTGCATATCGAACTTTTGGTAAGTCTGTTCTCGAATCTAATGAGATAGTTGAGAGTGTTAAAACAGTTGTGATGCCAAGACCAACTCTATCACTTGTTGCTTCTCGATGAATCCAAAATGAAACCCATGATAAGATGACGATGAGGATGCAAGGAACATAAACCTGTAGACAGTTAATTAGAATATAATTTATGATATGCTTAATAATAAATTAGGAAGTATACCTGAATTAAGAAATAACCAGTGTGACGCTGCAAGTTGAATAGCACTTGAAGCGTACTAAAATCACCCTCTCGTCGTCTAAGGGTTAAATTCTCTTGACGAAAACTAATTAAATCAAACTGACTAAGAATGGAGCAGCACAAAAGAGACAAGGATGAAAGCAAAATGTCATCCAGTTAGACTTGGACAAAAAAAAAAGGAATTTAGAAGTATCATCATATTTCATTACCTTAACGCCATGCCGGAATCAAAACTTACAGAATTATTATTGTACCATTCATACTCAACTTCCTTGTTTGTGTAAGCGTCTTGAGAAGGGATTGAAATTAAAAGTTGCGAAGGACATTCTATGATGAATAATAATCTTAAAAGAATGGCAAAAGAAAAACTTACAAGATCCCAAAATGAGAGGACAACTTTGACGGTCCATTGGAAAATTTCTCAGTTGCATTGGACAGCTTGCGCGTATTGTAAGCCTTCCATTATTTTAAAGGATGAAGAAGAAAGGAAAAAATTACGATGTCCAAAATATGAAGGAAAAAGATTCTTTTAGAAACTGTATTAAAATGTGTGAATAGGAAGATGGGGTAGACACAAAAAAGGAATGATTTATTATTTTTCATTTTCAACCCCAAACCATTAGTCTCATGTATGGAGTATCCTTCAGTTACTCTTTTTAATCATGAAAAAATAATTTAAAGGATGAACATGGAGAAGAAAAAAATCGGAAAGGACATTTTAGTGATAAATTATACATTTAGGGAGCGGAAATATGGTGTGTGGGGTTAATGAACTTAAATTCTTAAATCATCAGACCTCATCGAGTACAGAATATCTCCATCTTCGGACAGTCTTAAAAGCTTATTTGGAACTGTAATCGTGTGGATGTGACTCTTTTTTGCGTTACTGAAAGTAAAAGGAAATATGTAAAATTATATTGAATAGAATCAAGATGCAAAATTTTACTGAATGTACTCAAGATGCGAAATTTTACTGAATGCACTCAAGATGCGAAATTTTACTGAATCCACGTGAGTTTCAAAATTTTACTGAATGCACTCAAGTATTGAAATTTCATTTAACGCACTAAAGATGTGAAATTCCAATTGAAACACAAGGTTCTTAAAAATATCTTCAAAATCAATTATGCCACTAGCGTTAGCCATATAAAATCAAATAATTGCCTCTTGGCATCATAGTTCACATTCCGATCCTTCCCAAACACTCCTAAAATATTCATAAAATTTATGAAGCAGATCGCTTTGATGTTCGTTGTTACGGCATAAAATTAATTGACTGATAAATATTTATCTAAAATGGAAGGAATTTGCGATACAAGACTTAATTGACAGATATAATTATCTATCATCTTGTTCCGATCTTCTTATGATGTACCCACGCATATCATGCTTGAAATATTTCAAGAAGAATTTCGTGTTTGTAAAAAAATTATCAATGAAGATGAAAAGCATCCTACATAAAGCTGAGCATTAAATTCTAAAGGATTAACTTACTAGAAATAAGTATCCGGTTTCCACATCCTTTCCAGCATCTTAAAAATAAAAGAAAATTGTCAATGTATTGTTTACAAATGACAAGTTAAAATTTAATGTCCATTATGTTCTCACTTTAATGCTCAATGACAATTCTTTAAATGGTGACTTGAAGCTGAGTCTTTTGTCGCGCCAATATTGACGAAAATAGCAGTCCATTGAATAATCCTAAAAGGAATACATAGTACAGGAACAGAGTTAATAAGGTGTCAATCATATAAAAATGGAATTGGGTCAATGATGAACAGTTTTGCGACAATCGAAGCTATTTTTTTCAAAAATCTGTTCAATGATCGTCAATTGACAATATGAGTAAGAAAATGTGGGCATATTATGTATATCCCCTGCTGAACATGAGATGAATGATGCACAGTCATATACTCACCATAGCCTTCTCACTAACTGGTCCCATAGATCTTATCAAAATATTTGTTCGAATTTTTGTCGGAATGCCTAGATATAGATGCAGAAAAGAAAAATATTTCGATGATAAATAACATAACTCATGAATATTAATGTCGTTCATGCAACGGCTAAGAAGAATAAGGGATGATGTTTTAAAGAAAATCGCGATACGGACGAAAAATCGACAGTTTTCTTTATGTCATTTTTTAAAATATTTATTCAAGTTTGATGCATCAAAAATCTTTTGTTGTCGTTTTTGGTGAATGTATAGAGATGTTCACAAAAAAATGATCAGATGTAGATGAGTAAAGCGCTGTTTTAGTTTAAAATGAAACTGTTTCGACTCGACTTTAGTAAATAGCATCAAGCATTGACTTGGTTCGTCCTCAGCAGAGTGCCGAACTGACGGGCACAATACACCTTAAATTCTTGAATGCTTCAACGATTCAGTCAAAATGAAGCTATTATTCTAATAATATAGCAAATAAATAGGCTAAAAATAATATTCAATGAAAAATCAATGCTCGACTGATAAGGTCTCAATCATAACAATAACAGACCATCACATTTAAATCTTTATGTATACATGAGTTCTTATGAAAAAGTCATGTAAATTTTCGTCCTCTCTTTCCAAGAAGAAAAATCAATTTTTTAACCGTAGCAACGAAAAAAAAAAAAGATTTCCTCTTTCTGTATGTGTACAGCATTCAATAAGTATCATAACAACAATAGTAATGACAAGCTATTTATGAATAAGTACACATGAACGACAAAGTGCCTCTATACACAATAATAAATATGTGTCATTATTTAAAGGAAAATTAAGTCGTATGTGCAGTTGTTCGCATTTCAATGCTTATTTTTACGACGTGAATTGAAGAAAAAAGGAGGGAAGTTCTTTATGGAACTGTATTTTAGTGGTTTTGTGTGTAAGAATGATAGTCATGTTTTAAAGCTTGAAGCAGCTGAATCAAGTCTGGATCTTTAATAACATTATTCAGGCCATGGGCGACAAAAAGTGAGGAAAGGGGTAGTGAATTAAAATTCTGATTAAAATTCTAGAATCGAAATAAAAGAATCGAAATTGCATTGAAAAAACTCTAGAGTTTAGATTAGAATTTGAATAAAATTTGATTTCAATTCCTATTCTATTTCGATTCTAGAATCAGAATTTAAATTGAACGAATCCGAACGAATCAATTCTGGAATTGTAATTGAAATTCTTCCTTGAGATTTTACCAATAACTTGATGTTTCGACAGGAACTGAACACAAAATGAAGGCAATTGCTGCATTATCAGATTAAACATGTATATATGGTTCAATAAGGACGTAAAGGAACTAGTAGAACTTCTTAGTTCCGCAGAACTGACCCTCTTCTGGAAAAGTCATGAAACGTTGAGAAATGCAGAAAAATTTTTTGGGTATGTCCAGCTGACTGGAACTTACTGAAAATTTCAAGGAAGAATTTCAATTACAATTCCAGAATTGATTCGTTCAATTTAAATTCTGATTCTAGAATCGAAATAGAATTGGAATTGAAATCAAATTTTATTTAAATTCTAATTAAAATTATAGAATTTTTTCAATGCAATTTCTATTCTTTTATTTCAATTCTAGAATTTTAATCAGAATTTTAATTCACTAGAAAGGGGAAACACGACGAATTTTAAACTTTAAAATTTTCACTTAAAAAGTTCAAATCTTTGATATAAAAAATTTAAATCATGCAATAAATTTTTTATTTTGTGTAAGCGTGTGACAGGGAACCATGCCTACACATATGCAGATTTTAAATTTCAATATTTTTGCCTTCAATTTTTTTATTGAAAATATTTGAAAGAGACACGTGAGAATCGTTCATAAATTACGTCATGCTCAAAGTGGATATTGTTGACATGGCCAATGATTAAGGGTTGTTTGACATATAATAGAATACGGGGAAATTATCATTAGAGAAGGAGGATTTTGTCAGGTAGGGGAGGCAAAAGTGCATATTTTTACGTTTCGTAATAAGTTCACGACTCCTTTTGTTTGAAAAATATTTAACTAATATTCAATCATGTGACACAACGTTACATAATAAACATATTCCTATATTTTTATTTTATTCCGAAAATTGTATTAAAGATTTCCCAGAAATCTTCTTTAAAGCATCATCAATTGAAGACGAAACAGGAATAAACAAGTAAAAATCCAATAAATCATCAAACACACATAACAGAAGGAAATAAAAAAATTCAATTCAAAAAGAAACTCGATGAAAATTCTAAAAAATAAAAAATCTTAGCAACAAACCTTCTCCATGTGTAGGAAGCTGAGAGTTCTCATAGCTCATCAATAGATTCTCAAGAACGAGTGAAATATTACGACTAACTTGCTTCCTGTCAGACGATGAAGATGATCTTGCTTTTCGGATCTTTTCATCAGTTCCTGCATTCTCTTCTATTATTTGATTATTTATCCTCGTTTCTGCATCATCATCGACTTTCTTAATATGACTGTATATATAGTACCGCTCTTTTGTCTTTTCCTTCTCGGTCGGCTTCATTGTTGTTGGTGCTGATATATCAGATGGCACATAATGCAGCTGATTATGTAAATAAAATTGTCGTTGTTGTTGTTCATATAAATCACTTGATGCTGTTGTTAATATATCAGTTAGATTGTAAATTTTTCCCTCATTACGTCTGTCACCATCATCATTTTCATCGCTATGATTTTTTTGTGTTCACATGTAATGATTTTTTTAACGTTGAGTGATGTTGAATGAAAAAAAGTATTAAAAAAATGAGTAAAGCTGGAATAATTGTTTAAATAGATCATAATGTGTTTTTAAAAGCCTCGTGTTGCTTTGAAGGATCTTTTAATCGGCTTCACGTTGTTTTTGTCATGCTTTTTGGATAACAATAAGAAATGTTTTATACACGAGACATATCATTTAATGTAATTTAAAATTATTTTGTAGAAATTCTTTTATAAAGAATAGGATTGAATTCTTGTTGTGTAAGGTTGTTTATGTTTGATCTACATAGTTGCTGTGGCTTCGGCATTCGTTCATGCTCAAGTAATTTTTATTCGTAACATGGACAAAGAGAATATTGAATCAAATTAAGCATAAAATTCTCTTAAGAATTTGCTCATATTCTTGGGATTTAAGAAAAGGTAGAGATCTAGCAAGCTGAAGGTTGGCAATCAAAAGAGAATTATATAAGAGATTTTTGAGGATATTCAAGAATATCAAATTGAGGATAAAATTATAAATTTTTTAGCTTTTAAACTATGTTCCACGACACAGCACTTTGTCGAATTAGATAATTAACATCAAACCCTAACCAGCTTATTAATTTTTGTGTCTCCACTGATTCGTTTTTGTATCTTTCACACAAACTAGACAACATCATTCTAATCTTAAACATCTTCAATCCAAAGAAGACACACTCAAAACTAGGGTTTTCAAACCCGGGATTAAAATGTACTGAATCCCGGGTTTGATCCCGGGATTACATACATTTCAATCGCGGGATTGAAAACCCTACTCAAAACTTTTCGAAAATCTTCTAATTGTTGACTCCTTACAAACAAACCAATATTTTCTGTATGTCCATCAAACCACAGACCAAAAGTTCAATATAACTAATTTGTCAATTGTGTCTACAAATCGAGAACAAGTAACTTTAATTCATCAAGATCTTGAAATCAAGTAAGATATCCAAGATAAGATTATCTTCTTGAAGAAAAGTTTAATTTTTTTTGGTAAACTTGTCAATGTTAATGAACTTTTATTGTGGTTGAAGTATCTGAAGGCAATATTGATATATTTATATATGGTTGTTGATGAGACAATTTCAAGTAATATGGAGAAAAAAAGTTTGAGAATTCTTCTTCATATTAAGGAATTTTTTTTATAAAAATACTTTTGAAAACAGACTTTATTTTTGCGAATCATGGATTGATTAGCTCGAATTTGTTAGAAGTTATTGTGAAAAGTTTAATTTTAATATTAGGGGTCGTTCACTTATGACGTCCGAAATTAATTGTCATTTTTTAAAAAAGAACAATGGATTTCCACTGACCCTTTCTTTTCTCACTGACCCCCCCCCCCACTCCCCTCCGGAACGTCGTAAGTGAACAGCCCCTTAAGATTCTGAAATAACAAGTGATCTGTAAAATTTAATGTAAATTTACGAACCATTATGGTCAACCACAACCTAATGAGCATTTCAAAGTGAATTTATAAATTTATAGTTTCCCATAACAAATTCCATTGAAGTCCATAAATCTAATTTTGTTAATCAAAATAAATTCAATTATTTCAGTGATGACTCACAGAGGCTTATCACATTTCATTAAAATAATACGTATCATCATTGAGTACAGAGAATATGACGATGGGAGAGCTAAGACGAAAAACATTGAGCTTATTTTGAACTGATAACCTTTCTCAATAACAGAGGCGACTCAACATCAATATTAATTATTCAATTAAATCTAAAAGAGAATCGCTATTAATAAGGTTTTTTTAAGTTCACATCTGTTTGTTGTTGTGCTACTATGTTGACAGCCTATCTCTAAATATTTGGGATTTTTCTGTTGATTATTTTTATTGTAAATATTCTCGTTTAAATACTCTGAGAAAGTCAGTAAAGATGAGCATAGTCATTTACCGTCCAACAGCTATAGAGTGAAGTTCATAAAAATAAATTAGAGATGATTTTAAGGTAGTTAAAATAATTTTCTCATCCTTGAAAATTAGCTCAAAAATCTGTTTCCATTTTCGCAGGTGTTTATTCATTTTATTAATAGCAACAATTACAATTACTCAAGCGGAATTAGCGTCTATTAATTGTGAATTTATTAAAGAAACCGAACGGGGTCTACAATGTGGATTTAAAGACGTCCTTACATTCCAAACAACTCAAATAAATGTTGTAGACAGAAATTCATCAGTTGAAGCTGTTACATTTCATCAATCTGAACTTTATTCTGTCCCAGCAGATATATTTCAAAAATTTCCTCAATTAAGGCATCTCGATGTCGAACAGACAGATTTGAAGGTCATTAAATCTGATAACTTCTATAATGCAAATCAATTGAAATATTTTTTGGCGCGATTTAATGAAATTTCAAGGATAGAAAGTGAAACTTTTTCATCATCTCCGCAGTTGAAATACATTGTTCTACAGCAAAATCGAATTAGTGATATACATCCACGTGCATTCTATGGACTCAATCATTTAGAAATACTTTATCTTGATTATAATCGAGTAACTGCTCTTCCATCTAATCTACTCGACTATCTGCCAAATCTGTTGCACTTCTCAATGACCTATAATAATCTTTCAAGCATTCCAGATAATTTATTCATAAAGAACGAGAAACTTGAAACTTTAAACTTGGGACACAACCTGTTGACATCATTTGATGATGAACAATTCAGAAGACTACCGAATTTGGAGCGTGTCCAACTTGATTTCAATAATTTATCGCAATTAGATTTGTCTGCATGCAAATCAGTTGAAGTTAATATTGACAATAATAATTTGTCGGAAATTCAATTGAATAAGTGGACGAAAACAGTATCGGCATGGGAGAATCCTGTTAAAAAACTAGTTCTACATGAACATTATGGAACTGGACGTACATACAACTTTACATTTAATGACGTTTCAGAAATTGTCTTTTTTGTTCATGAACATTGTTGCTCGGTGGAAAATCTGGAAAACTTTTACATTTTGACTTTGTCATTTGGGGATTTGAGTGAGAAAAAGCTTAATGCAAAGAATTGGAAATGCAAATTTAGGAAAAACATTGGATATGAAACGGACAAAGGATATATTACGAATAATGTTTGTGTAAAAGATGAAGATCAAATATTAAGTCTGAAGTCTAGAACAAATGTTTTGGAAGAATCAACCTTTGAGTCGATTATTGTGGAATCTTCAACAAAAACTATTTCTGAATCACAAACAAAACCTTCAACGACTGAACAATACAAAATAACTTCAACATCCAGTATGGAACTAACCATTAGCCCCGAAACCACAGAACAATCAATACAATATGTATCTCATGAAACAAGTTCAACAACACAAGAACCAGCTTTAGATACAGATGAAATGCTAGCAAACATTGAGGAATTTACAACAACAGAGTCTTCAGAGACAGCAACTGAAAAAGGAGTTTGGAAATCATTGAAGAAAAAAGTTGGTGGATTGAAAACAAGTGTTGTAAGCAAATGGAATACATGGGTTGGATAGACAATTGCACTTACAAACGCCTGATTTTTCCATTCCTTTTTGTTCATATTCATAATAGTTTATAGATCTTTGATTGTTGTCTGGGAAATTTTCCTCGAGCAGTGTTGTGAAACTAAAACTTAATTCAAGATGAGCTTTATGGATTTCTAAAAAGATTGTATCTGACGTAGAAACTGCCTTTGTCATTGCTTTATTGATTAAACCAATGACGAGGAGCGGTTTCGCACTATTAGAACAAAATATGCTAGACAGATTTTGTCTGCATAAATCAAACTGACAAATATCAACCCTGCCTAAAAACAAATACATAGATCTTCCACTGAACAATTTATTTCCGCTCAAAATATAAATCAAGCATGATCCTTCACAAAATATTTTCATTTTCTGACGAATAAGCTTAGAATAAATAAATATACAGTACAAAACAAAGCTCTGAGTTATTTTCTAAATTCCTTCCATAAAAACAACACTCATCTATTCACTTGAATATGTTATGTCATGTTGTGCTTCACATGATTATAATCAGAATATTTATGGCAAAATTACCTGCTATAATCATCCTGTTGCTCAAAGCTCTCCTCATCAAATTGAGTATCATTCTCAACAGCCATTTGGATTGCGTTCCTCAAAAAATCAATATCATCATTTATTTGCTGTCCGAGGGTTGATTCTGTAAGAATTCTGTGGATGAAAAATAAACAGAAAAATCTTCTTTGATTTGCTTGCTTATTGACAAAAAAATAAAGTTGGAAGTAAGCAGAAAATAAAAACTTTTAATTAATTGATTTTTTTACGTCTGTTCCTTTCAATGGAAAACAAAAAAATTTTTTTAATGAGATTCAGTTGTGAAAACCAAAAGTCATGGAAACAGAAATTTTAATTGTCAATTGATGGAATTAAGAAGATATTTTCATTTCTCGAAATATTTATGTTAATTACACACTTTATATTAATTGTGGGATTAAATCCATTAAATGCTTTTAAGGGAATTGCATTTGCATTTTAAGCGTTTGTAAAAATATTCATGGAGGGAGATTATGGCAATAGAACCCTGATGTTTACACTATGCAGCTTCTGTAAAAATTTACATTATCATCATCATCATCAGCAGCATGATCATTAGGTTATTTACAGAATAAATAAATAAATAAAAGATTGCAGCACTTGCAACACTTTGTAGGTACTTTACAAATAACTTTAGTGTGCTTCATTCAATTTAACTCTTAGAAGTGCATGCTGTTTGTTGTTCTGTAATGATAAAATAAACAACTGGAGCTGTTAAAGGAGTCAAAAGAAAATTTTGATTAAAAACTTTTTCGTTTTCGCATGAAATCAAATTTTTTTCTTTCTTTCATGTTTTCCACATCTTTTGAGGATATAGAGATTGAGTTTGACTGACTTTACTAGGTTAGCAGATTCTGTTCGTCCGTGGCTTGGTCAGTCTGCTTTTTAACGGTACTTTTTTAGGGTTAAAAAACTTAACTGATGATTTTAAAGATTTGGCGACACACTTGACTCAATTTTAAAGATTTTGGAAAGTCACATACGTAATTTTGAAAAGAGATTAGTATTCTGCGGCACACAGTCCAAGAAACAATAAATTACACAGTTTAAGCTTTGATACATTAGTTTAAATTGTTCAATGCGTTCAATCAACAAAACATTTTGAAAATTTCGAACTTGCTCTTCTTCTTCCTGTTATTCATATCAAGCATAAGTAAGAAAACTTTATTTATCCTTCACTCAACACCTTCTTGAAAATTTTCTTTCTGATAAAAATTCTTCTTCCTTAACTTTTCTTCTTTTTAAGCAAGCAAAATTGATGGAATGTGACAAAGAAAAGGAACAGATTTTTTTAATATCCGTAGAAATAGGAGACAAATTTACATGGATTTAAATTAATTTAAAAAGAGTAAGCGAAGGCATGTAAATAAAGTCTGAAAAAGAATTTTTCTTTTGTTCCTCAAAACTCTTGAACTTTTTCTTTAAACGCGACATTCATGCGACTTTCAAAAGTTCTTTAATTTTGTTGTTTTAATTTTTAGTCGAAGGCAATCCAAACAGAAAGAATTTTACAATTAAAATTTATTCAGTTGCGGTGCTAGCATTTATTAAGAATTTTATTGCTAAGCAAGAATAAATTAGCATTAAATCTGTTGAAGTTCCATTCTTCTATTTGAGTTTATTATTGAAATTTGATTAGAGTAATTTGCTATTGAGAACTATGTACATATTTGACTTTTAAATTAATATGATGAATTGAAAATTTGAGCAACTTTTCCTTTTCAATTTCTCGTCTGTCTTCTCAATGTCAATCCTTTTCAGACGACTAAGTGGAAAATTCTTCTAATTTAAATCTGCTGTCGAATTTTTCATACCTAACAAATTAGTTCTCAAAAAGTTTTTAATGATTTTTTTGACACCTACTCATCGAACTTGTGTTTTCTTAGGAATTTTTTAATAAGATAATTTTTTTAAGCTTTATTTTTTATGTTTAAATAAGGACTGAAAAAGAAAAACTGATTTTTTGATACTGAATACATAATTTTCAAGATTTTTAGGCTTAATACCTAAAAGTATCTCTGAGTGATGTAGATCACAAACGATGTGCCTTTAGAGTTCCACAAATAAGCCGTAAAACTTTTGAAAAATTAAAATTTTCACTAATTTTCTTCTAGAAGTCGTTCACTTATGACGTCCATCAAAAAACCTGATTTTTAGACCCCCCTCCCCCCCTCTGTTCCAAAAATTCTATAGAAAAAAATTTCCATTGTTTTAACTGTCACAAAAACCTAAACTCCCCTCCCCCCCTAAATGTCGGACGTCATAAGTGAACGGCCCCCTAGCTAGTCAGCCAATCTGAAAAACTTTCATTACCACATTCCCAAAATCATTCATATCTTCCATTTTAGAAGCTTCTATTTTACATCTAAAACTGACAAAAGATTAAAGGCATATGAAGATTTTACGAAAAGATTAATTCAATAAGAAATAAAATTCTTCTTGTTATTCAAATACTCAAACAAGATTGTTGAAGGAAATAGAAAGGAAGGAAATTAATTAAGAAAAAGGGCAAGAATAAGGATTTTTAAGATTTCCAAGAACATATAGAAGAATCTTCTGTGAATGTTCACGCATATTTTTCATATGAGCAACTGATATCTCCTCAAACATTAAAATCGCGTTGCTTTTCCAAATCATCTTTTCATCCACAGATGAGAAAATATGCAGATGCTTTATGTCAACACATGTCCGTTATCATATAAATTTTTTCAGAAAGCAACAGATTCAGATTATACAATATCCACAGACCCAAATGGGAAAACTATTTGCTATTTTGAATTTGTGGGATTTTTATTTTTTTGCATTTGCATAAACACATGTTTTGTTACTTCTCCTACAATCTTTGGGGAGAAAATGTTTTGATTCCTTTTTATTGTTGTTTCTGTCTCTCTTGTGCTGGATATAACATTCTGTTAAAATATAAAATTTTATTAGATATTCATTTTCTTCTTCCTTTCATTGTGAATAAAGAGGATCTTGACACTTTTTTACTTTGCTTCTTATATATAGATATGAATGTTGAAGAACATTCAAAATGAGACAAGATGTCTACTAAATGGGATTGTTATGGACAAGAAAGGAAGAAAGTTATAGAGTGAATAATGCGTTATTGAATTAGAAACACAAAATATTGGATATCTTAAGAACCAGGATCTAGACTATTTGCTAACAGTTTTGTAGCTTGAAGTGACAACCTTCGAATTGGTATTGATGCTATAACCTAGACTATTAGATGCGAAACAATGTATACGAGGGATTCTGGTCTAGACATAAAGAACAACTCTTTTATCTTTGATATTTGCAAAAGAAGCAAGATTTCAACAGAAAATGAAAATAAAAATTGACGAAATTTCCACGAGTAAATTTATCAGCCTTGAAACGACAAATAACGTTAAACAAACATTTAAGGCACTCATGTCACGCTACATTAATTTCTTTGGGCTGATTTTTTCTTCAACTTGAATTTTCCCAGACACAAAGAATTTTTTTCTTCCTTAGTTCCTTTCTTTTAGCACAGCAGTTGACTAATTTTCTTCTTTGTTGATAAGATTTTTTTTTTTTATTTTAATTTGTACAGCCGAGAAAAAGGTTTGTGAATTATTAAGGCAGTTAAGCTTTTCTAATGACTTAATGAGTTGTGAAACAATTTCAGCATAATCCGTAATCACATTTGTGTTATTTTGGTCTAAAGGAATTATTTATATACACGCTAGTTTCAGCATATGGAACTGATGCAGCTAAAAGTTTTATTGAATTAATCACGATAATGTCTTTAAAGCAGTTTGAAGAAAACAAACTGTAAATCAATGATTTCAAAAAAAAGAGCAAAAATTAGCAAAATTGTCAACAACTTAACAAGATGAAAGTTAAAAGACTGAAAAACAACTTTTTACAGCAATTTTAGTTTAAAACCGGGTCAGGAAAATATTTCTAGTGACATTTTAAGGTTCGTCAATCATGTGGTTACATTCCTAATTTAAAGACATTTTGAGACGTGAAAAAAACGATTGAATAAAGCAAAGCATATTTATGGGAGAAATTTTATATTAAATTTGCAAACCATAATATGGTTTTGCCACTAACCTTTGTAGGAAGAATTTCAAACTTTTGGATTTTAATCAATAATGTCAGATTTCACTTAAATTGAGGTGAATGTTAAGTATGTAAGTAAATGTTGAATATAGTATCAATCAATAGTCTTAATATCAATAAAAATATCAATTCAGTTGGCTTTAAAATATTGTGATTATGAATTAATTTTTAATTGGAATCGAACCTTTGATTGAAATAGTAAGAATTTAATTGTAACAATTCTGAGGTACTGTTTTTAATGAAAGGAGATGTCTTTTAGGGATGTGGATCTGATCAAAAATGGTTCAAATCTAATTTATCAATTTAGCACCCTTGTCAAGGATTTAAATACGACTTTAAATTTGTTTCAGATTCCCAAAAGGTTTAAGAACCACCAGTATAATGAGTACAAGCTGTAGTACGAGCAAAAACCATCTTGCAGCGATATTTTCTTTGACAAAAGTATCATTCATGAGCAGTTCCAAAAAGTATAAAAGTTTCATACAAGTTTATATTTAATTATTTTTCCAGGACACAAAAGATTGTGATTGATAGAATTATGTCAATAGTCTTATTATGGATGGATAAATAAGAAGTAGGTAAGAGGGTAAGTGTCTAATAACTTGATGGAAAGCTTATCAGCCCTTTCGTTTTGTCAACTGATTTTCCAAATTTCTTAATTTAGGTAGAAGTTGAAAACAATCACGCAAATACCTAAAAATACCAAATGCCAAACATTGTTAAAGTACGGAAGTAAAATCAATAATTTAAAGACAATTTCTAAAATTGGCAGCATTTGTTGATGAAAATAAGAACTTAAAAACTTATTTAAAGGAACAACGAAAAATATTTCAAGTTTGGTTTTGAAAAAACAAACATGAAACTTAAATTTCCACAACATCATTGGAAGTGCTGTTGTACAAAAATAATAAGTAAATGACAACAACGATGACAATTTGTTCGTTCAGGTTTTGCTGCATCATTTTTCAAATTACTGAATATATAATGTGAGAGAATTACTCCACTAGAAAGTATTTCAAGTGAATAGCAATTGAATAGCACAAGAGTTTCCACAAATTTGCTGTCATTTCTACTCGATTTAATTACTCGTTCTCTAAAATT